TGACGGACTTCTCGGTCACATATGGAAAGTAGAGACACCCAATCTTACTAGAAAAATTCCAGATTCACTGACCAGCGGCTGCCAGGCAGGATACGCCCACCTTTTGCAAGAGATGGATAGAGAACAAGAAAAAAACAAGCGGGATTTTTTGTACAATCAGGGGCAATAATCCAGAAAGTTATGGTCTGAAATATGCAAATATCAAAAGGGACGGAGTTCTTTGGGATATAAAGATATATTTTAAAATATCAGAATCGGCTAAAATGCGTTCGGATATACGCGATTATCAAAAGAAACCAAAATCTTAGTGTGTAATGGTGATATATATTCACATGTGTTTTTTTTAAATCGGATAAAAATTGTGACCTCTACAACAAGCTAAAAACATGATTTTTCATACAATCAGGGGTCATAATTTAGGAAGTTACTACCCGATATGCCTGAATATCGAAAGCAACCAAGATCTTTGGGTTATAACATGCATTTCAAGTTTCATAAAAATCGGATTATAAAATTGTGACCTCTACAGGGTCCACAATCTTGATATACCATATTTTTACATTTTACACTATTCGGCAGTTTTGGTCCGATTTTCACGAAATTACGGTGATATACCATACTTTTACACTATTCGCGTACAAGCGGCGGCCATTTTGGTCCGATGTTCACGAAATTCGAACTCAATCTTCATTACGGTGTAACGGTGATATAATCAAACGTTTTTTAAAAATCGGATAATAATTGTGACCTCCAGAGGGACGACAAGCTAAAAAAGGCGATTTTTCGGACAATCAGGGGCCATAATTCAGGAAGTTACGATCGAAAGGAACCAAGATCTTTGGGTTATAAACATGCATGTCAAGTTTCATCAAAATCGGTTCAAAATTGTGACCTCTATAGGGTCCACAAGCTAAAACCATGATTTTTCGTACAATCAGGGGCCATAATCCACGAAGTTTCGATCCGATACATGCCAATATCGAAAGCATCCGAGATCTTTTAGAGATAAACCTATATTTCAAGTTTCGTCAAAATCGGATAAGAATTGTGACCTGTAGAGAGTCCACAAACAATTGTGGACGGACAGGGGCGACGACAATATGAAAATGAAAATGTGGGCGTATAAAAAGTCACAAAGAAATGAGGATCGAATTCCCATAAACAATTCAAGTTGTCGATTTCAATGTATGACAAAATAGTTATCACAGTCGGGTCAAGATAGGTTTTATTGCAATTATTACAAAAGGGGTAAGTAATACAATACGGGGCCCAGATAAGTTATATTACAAGTATGCTGTCATCATTAGCCCAGTTGGCGTTGAAAATTATTTCATTCATTCACATATTTACAATATTACAGGAGGGGCTGTCGTCCGGAAATGCTTTTCATCCATGCGTTGGACTTGGGAACACTTTATCGAAACCGGAAAGTTGAAAAGTACCTTGGGATTTTCAGCGTGGCTACTCGAATTTTTGTCGGTAGTGCAGGACAGAGGGCAAGCAAGGAACTGCGTCTAACCATTCGGATGGGGCGAAAAACTGATCGTCCTAGGTTGTGCAGGCCCACATTCACAGTACTGAACGCCGCGTCCAGACATCATACATCGGTCCAAAACATCATAATATGATATTCTTTGAATGGCATTAAGTAATTGAAACTAGTGTTCGGATATTCGAACAAGAATACTATTCGAATATTCGACGGGTCTTGAAATTTGTATTCGAATATTTTCAATTTTTAATATACTATTCAAAAAAAGTAGGGGATATTTGATTTTGGGGGCATAATACTAAAATATGCAAATGACTACGAAAAAAGTCACTATAGAACCTAACAGAAGAAACATTTCCAGTTACATGTGACGCCCAAACGCACCAATAGCTACCGCATGGAATGCAGGTGATGCTTGGGATCATCATGGGGGTCCAACCCAAGATTTGCACGACTCTGACTTTGAATGTTACAGTCATTGTGGCATTGAATTCCAGGGTGGAAACATCAGTTTAATTGTTTTAGTGACCAGAAAACAAATTTTGATATGCGTCGGCTTACTCAAAATGAAAGGTTACGTGCCCTTGGCATGCTACAGATCGGCACAACACAGGCGGTTGTGGCGCGGACGATGAATGTTTCTCAGTCTGTCATAAGCAGGCTATGGTCCAGATACCGTGATACACAATCTGTACAGGACAGACCACGCTCAGGTCAACCAAGGGCGACAACTCAAGCCCAGGATCGATTTATCCGTACCTTGGCCTTGAGAAATCGTGTCGTCACAGCAAATCAGATCAGCGCTGGTCTTCAAACAGACACTGGTGTGAGAGTGAGTGGCCAGACGATTCGGAATCGACTGCATAGGGGTCACCTTCGCGCCCGACGTCCTCGCGTGATCCCTTGTTTGAGAGATCATCACATTCAGGCAAGACGTGGTTGGTGTAGGGATCGTCAACACTGGGATAATCGACGCTGGAGCAATGTGATGTTTTCAGATGAGTCAAGGTTCACTGTTGATTTTTTGGACAGACGTAGGAGGGTGTGGCGTCGTCGAAACGAGCGCTTCCAAGACGTTAACGTCATCAGACATGATCGATTTGGGGGTGGTTCTGTTATGGTGTGGGGAGGCATCACTGTTGCTGGAAGAACGGCTTTACATGTTGTTGCAGGGCGTGTTACAGGCCAGTACTACCGGGACAACATCTTGGCAGTCCATGTTGTGCCGTTCGCACGACGTCATGGCCGCCGTTTCATCTTCCAGGATGACAACGCAAGATGTCACAGGGCCAGGATCGTTACAGGTTACCTCCAACAACAGAACATCACCACATTACCTTGGCCAGCACTGAGTCCCGACCTCTCCCCCATCGAGCATGTCTGGGACATGCTTGGACAGAGGTTACGTCAACGTCAACAACGTCCTGCCAATGTCCAAGAACTTGCTGCTGCGTTGCAACAGGAATGGGACAATCTGGACCAAAATGACCTTAGACGTCTCATTAGGAGTATGCCACGTCGGATCAATGCTTGTTTGGCAAACAGAGGAGGATTTACCCGTTACTGACTTGGTTGTGATGCTGTGGTAACTTTGCTGTTTGACCCCGGGTATCATTTTACCCTTATAATGGTCAGCCTGTGCCTTACTTAGTCTAACGATCATTTGGAATAAATCGATGAATGTGAACTTCATTTCATTTTGTCATTTGTTTCTTCGTCAGTTTCATTAGGTGACTTTAATAACACTTAAAAATCAAATATCCCCTACTTTTTTTGAATAGTATATAAATATATTTAAAGTGGTTTATATTCAATTTATTATGATTTCTAATTAATTATGAAATACGTGAAATTTCTGTTGACATGTGACAATGCACAAGATTATATTTTGGCAATTGCCAGTGGATCTTTTACGTAAACTGCCAATTTGTACACAAGACCTCGGCCTTCCATGACATCGCAACAAGTTTACGCGGACCTCAACCATACTCCAGTCATCTGCCATCTCCGTCAGATGCTCTTTTAGTTTATCCGAGGTATGTGAACCTGGACATGATTTCACTTCCAGAGTCTTATTCTTGATTTGACGGTCGTCGGAATGAACGGCATCATAGATTTCTTCCATTCTTTTTTTGAGTGTTTTACTTGACGGCAAATTGTGTGATGGATTCAGGGCTTAATTCTACCAATTCCCGAAAATGGTCATTGTCAATAAGAGAGAGGGGCTGATAATGCTTGGCTACAAACTTGATCAATTTCTCAGTGACGTTTTTTTGCTGCGCTGAATCTTGTCATACTTCTTGCTGTTGCATGGAGAACTTTGTGTAAAACTTTTTAATTGGCCGAATCTTGCCTGACCGCACGTCCCTTGCAGAGGAAGTATCTAGATCTGCGTATATGTTTCAACTTCATGTGGTTCCAAAGATTGCCTTGATGTGATATTAGTCAAGACCATGGAGGTGTATATATTGTCAATATATACACCTCTATGGTCAAGACAGCCAACTCCATCGTGGCACTAACTGGCTAACCAAAATAGGTAACATGCTTCTTACAGAATAACTGTCTCAGAAGACGGCAGGGGTAGCACCCTTACAAGCTGCGGTTAGGTAATCTAGGTAAGCTTTGAGTGTAAATGTGGCAAGGGAAGTCGCCTTTAATAATATTTGAGAGCAAATAGAATAAATAATAGATATTCGAAAATATTCGAATATCGTTATTGCTATTCGAATATTCGAATATTATATTCGACGAGCGAATATTCGAATATTCGTGCCGAACACTAATTGAAACATAATCAAGTAACACACTATTTATGGATAACAATTACTATGGTTTATATCACTGCGACGTTTCAACAAGATTTCACAAGTCGTTATCAACCATATGCTTGATAACGACTTGTGAAATCTTGTTGAAACGTGACAGTGAAATAAACCATAGTAATTGTTATCCATAAATAGTGTGTTATTTGATAATATGATGATACCAAGAATTTTTGAAACTTGTGAAATTCCGTTCACATCGCCCAACATTCTTTTACATTGTATGATGAAGTGCAAAATAAAACTAAAATGAAAATGACCGCACTCATTTTATGTCACATGATAAGCAGCTGCACCAAGTCACCTATATACACCTGGTTCGTTAATGGCTTGAAAATCTGTACACATTTGTTGTTCAAGTTTGTTGGGAAAAACAGTCCGGACGATCGTACGTTTATCCATCAAGATCTTCTTACAAATGTATGATCATGTTTTGAATAAACGGGCGACCGTCTGCACGGAGATTAAAAGTCAGACAACTCAAATAAAACCTGTTTTATAAATTTTTTAAAACCATTTAACTTACTACACCATTTAGACGTTTTTGTCTTTTGGTGTCAAAAGTAAAGAGGTTATAAGCCATAAAATTCTTCAGTAAAAAAGCATATGGATATAAATTGGCATATAAATTTCATTTCATTTACTTAAAAACTATTACTGGGCTTCAGATAAAGGTTTCTAAGTGCCATTCCAAGATAATGCTTTATTCACAAAATATACTTGGGTAGGACAACTCCTTCAATGATAACCATTATGACGATTATATACTCCTATAATAAGACTTCATCTAAAATGTACATTTAAACAATTTAAGGTGTCTAAAAGCTTTAAACACAAAACAAATCACAAGTTGACACTTTAAGACAAAAATGAACTGCATAAATAACTTCTCTTCAACACAGGTCCATTATAAATTTTAAGTTTACATTTTCTCAATAAAATGACATTCCTAATGTAAACTTCTGTGTTTTACTGGTTTGGGGGAGTATTTTGTTTTACCGATATCAAATTTTAAAAAGACAGTGTAATACGAATAAATGTACATCAACATAATTAAAACTAACTCTCATTTTATTCCGACATGAACACATGTTGGTTTACACTACATAATATCTAACTACTTCCTTATGGTTAATTTGTTCTATAGGTGGTCTTATTGAGCAACAGTGATTGACTAAAAACCATTATGGCCATAGGAAAACATCTTTTCATATTAGAAAATAGGGATCAGTCAGCAGAAGTTATTAAAAGATTTACTTTGTGTAAATATAAATGACAGGTTATGACATATCAGACCAAAAGACAGTATGGTCTAATTTTTAATTAAACTTTACATATAGACCTGGAGCCCAGGAGGTCAACCTAGCTGAAAAGTGTACCAATTTTTTCCAATATTTTATCAATGCATGTATATCTGATATCATCAGAATGTAAGTCTGCCGGTTTCCGGTGCTGGGTGTGGTATTCCACGCCCAAAATGCCATGCATCCCAACTAGGCTAGATTAGTTCAAAAGTGTACCACATGAAAATCGTACAGCAGTGTAACGTACATCTTCAGGTGTTACAAAAACACTCTAACAGAAATTTCTAGTGGTGGGTTACCCCTGACAGAGCTATGTAATTGTCATACATTTGTAGTGGTAGAGTATCCCTGACAGAGTTATCTAATTCCCAGTCCACAGCTAGGCTAGATTAGCTGAAATCTGTACCCCCTTAAACAGCTTTGGAGTTGTTCAGTACCATCACAGGACATTCATGATTCCTGTAGTGGTACTGAACAACTCCAAAGCTGTTTTAGGTGGTACAGATTTCAGCTAATCTAGCCTAGCTGTGGTCTGGAAATTAGAAAACTCATGTCATGGATACTCTACCACTACAAATGTCTGACAATTACATAGCTCTGTCAGGGGTAACCCATCACTATAAATGTCTGTTAGAGTGTTTTTGTAACACCTGCAGATGTACGGTACACTGCTGTAAGATTTTTATGTGGTACACTTTTGAGCTAATCTAGCCTAGTTGGGGGGCGTGGTATTTTGGGCGTGGAATACCACACCCATCACCGGAAACCCGGCAGACTTACATTCTGATGATACCAGATATACATGCATTGAGACCATATAGGAGAAAATTGGTACACTTTTCAGCTAGGTTAACGCCCTGGGCTCCCGCTCTAATACAGCTTCAATAAAATTTATATTGCACAAAATATTATATTTTTAATTATTTAAACAGATGAATGTAACACATAATTTTTATATTTTTTTACTTGGACCAAAATAATTTCAATTAAGTAGTCAGACTCTCTATATACAACAGCATTAAATTCATCAACCATTTATTCAAAATTTCATTCAGGCCTGAGATTTCTAAGGTAAACAATTCAATCAACTTTAAAGTAGCTAAACCTCTATGATTACGGAAATGAAATGTGGTTTAAGGTCCTATGTTTATGATGAGCACATGCCATTTTCTATGAAAGAAATTTGGCTAAAACAATGGCATTTCCACCTACTCTTAATCGATTTCTAAGCGTTCTTTTATGTACCATGAATGACCTCTGCTTTCTGTCTCATCCAAACAACTAGACACTTTTCCTACCTCTGTACGACTAAATTCTTGTTTTGAAATATCATGTTTTGAGTAGGTATGTTTACTAATCGTAGTTTCCTATTTCTAGTATTAGTGGTTCTTTGTCAAAACCAATATAACTTTCAGTTGTATCTCAGACTCAAAGAGATCTAGCCATTTTAAGAAAATTTAAGTTAATCTTACTGGGTAATTCCACTAATATACAAAACAATAGATGTATATATTAACTTCTTCACAGAACATATATTAATAATGAAATACCATTGGATTTCAAATTAATTGGATATAATATAAATCCATTATAAAATTCTTAGAATTAAATTACATTTATCATATATACCAGTAATATCAACCACTTTTAATATAAATGTGGGTCAATAACAATTGGCTGATCATGTTAACAATATTAATGACTAAAGCGTATTAAATATATTGTCAAACATAATGACTACTACAACATTCTATTCAAACTAAAAACTGGACTATTAAACTTGCTAGTGATTGTTATCCATAAAGTTGTGTTTATGTGATTTCAACAATAGTTATGACAACCTGATCATAGTATGGACTAGACATACAGATGAATAACTATTTCATTAATTATTCTATGCCTATATTTTAAGTTATTTCTTGTTCTTATATTCAGTTAATTGTACAAAATGAGTTTTTTAAGAAAGGCAACACAGGGGTTACACAAAACTTGCATATCAATAAAACACAATGTACATGCAGGTTGTTTTTCATTGTTGATGGTTGACCCAACATGTTCAACAAGATTATTGGATTAGTAAATTAGTAATTGTGTTTGTCTATATATTGTTTAGTTTTAATGTTTAGTTATTGTGAAACATGACTCTAATCAACAATACTTTAAATCTACATGTAAATTATCTGATACAAATTGTAAGTACCAGTGACATATACATGACATACTTTACACAAATATGGCAAATCATAACAGTATTGGTTAAAATAATTAAATCTATTATGAAAACTAATAAACAAATACATTTTCATAATATCAAAGTATTGCAAGATAATTACTTATTATAAATATATGATGAAAACTAACAAACAAATACATCTTCATAATATCAAGGTTTACAAGATAATTACTTCTGATACTTTGACTGCATTAGCAACTTTTGAGAGTTCTACATCCCTAACATAACAGAACACTTGTATGTGCATGGATTTTTAAATTTTATGCACCACAAATGCAGCCCTGTAACAGAATATAAGTCATATATTTGGAGAAAACATGAAAAATACAACAACATGTAACTGACACAACACGTGATTATAATTAGACTGGAGACATGTATATATCCTAAATCTTTCAAAAATAATTTTCCAACAAAGTTTATGATAAAGTTGGCTACTGCAGGCAAGGTATCCTGTATTTCATAATACCTTGACAACCATTATTCAGGTGCAAAAGAATCATATCACATCAACAAATAAAAGAAATATCTGTAAAATATACTTTACTTTAAGCCCAAAAATATCTCTCCATCTCAATCAACAGGCAATTGGATGTATATAAATGAAAACTAGAACAGAATCTACAAACACAACAAAATAATATCAATCTGGTTAAAACACAGATCCTATTTCGTTTCGTTTTTATAGTTCAAAATTTCGTTTTACTTGTCTTTACTACACTTGGATCTGGAAGACTTGTTATTTAACTCGTGTTCTGCTTGAAATGAGGGGTCAGTCAATCAAATGGTCTGTCGAATCGAGGGTTTGACCTTTTTTGACCGGAACTGTGGGTAATCCACTAGTAACATCAATGCTGATTGGTAAATCAAATGTCTGACGTCATAGGTCAAAAGTCAATATTTTGACCCCTGACGTGACCTATCGCTATAGCTTGTCAGATCTTCATGTAGTGTAGGCCATCGGAAATATAAAAAACCGAAACGAAATATAGATCTGTATTTTAATCAGATTGAAATAATATAAACTAAAAATAATAATGTTATCTTTGGGTTTCTAAAGATTTAGGTTGGTATACTGGTGCTTTAGACTTCTGTAGTGGGGGATTACCTAAAATTCTATCAGCCATTTTCTCAGCAATCATAATGGTAGGGCCATTAAGGTTACCACTAACTACACTCGGCATAACAGAGGCATCTACCACACGTAAATTTTCAACACCATAAACTCTACCTTCATTATCTACAACAGCCATCTTGTCGTCTTCAGACCCCATCTTACATGTACATGAAGGATGATAAGCTGAGTCAGCCATATTTCTCAAGAAATCATCAATTTCCTTGTCAGTGGTCATTGCAAACCCTGGTGCTAATTCACGTCCTCGAAATTCATCAAACGCCTTTTGATTGAAGATTTCTCTAGAGAGTCTCACGCCTTGCCTCAAGTCTACAATATCTTCTGGTTCAGAAAAATAATTGGCAGTTATGAGAGGATGCTCATGCGGATTATTTGATTTTAGTTTGATGTGTCCTCGACTGGCTGCTCTCAAGGTACCAGCATGTAACTGAAAGGCGTGACAGGGCCCCACCTTCCTTCCGTGATCGTTGACAGTAGATGGCAGGAAATGGAATTGGATATCTGGATGATCTATTCCTGGTTTACTGCGAATAAATCCCCCAGATTCTAAATGGCTAGTAGCACCATACCCTGTATTGCTAGTAAACCACTGTAATCCAATTCTTATCATGTTATGTGGAAATTTCCACTGTGCTGAATACAGTGTGTTCGGTTTAAGACATTCTTGTTGAACATAAACTTCTAAATGATCCTGTAGATTTTCTCCAACTCCAGGTAGGTGAGCAACAACAGGAATATCAAGATTTCTTAACTCATCAGCGTTTCCTATTCCCGAAAGCATCAGTAACTGGGGTGAATTGATAGAGCCACCACTTAATATAACTTCTTTCCTGGCATAAACTTGCTTAGTAATCCCTCCATGTTCATACTCTAGACCAACAGCTTTATGCTTGTCAAATATAATACGAGTGGTCAAGGCTTTGGTCTGTGTTTCTAAGTTAGGGCGATATAATACAGGTTTTAGGTAACCAGCTGCTGCACTCCATCTCTTTCCATCATGAACGGTCATATCCATCCAACCTACACCTTCTTGCTGGTAGCCATTCATGTCATCTGTAAAGGGGTAACCTGCCTGTTTTCCTGCTTCAATAAAAGCATGATGTAAAGGGTGGTTAGTTTTACCTCGAGAAACATGTAATGGACCATCACCTCCCCGATAATCATCTCCTCCTAGTTCGTGATTCTGTGCCTTTCTAAAATAAGGGAGACAATCAGCATAAGACCACCCTTTAGCACCTTCTGATTCCCACCTATTGTAATCGTGTGCATGTCCACGAATATACACCATGGCATTAAGAGATGATGATCCCCCCCATACTCTGCCTCTAGGCCAATACATGACGCGGTTATTCATGTGTTTTTCCGGTTGAGTGTGATAAAACCAGTTATATCTATCATCACACAGATTATACATTAATGCAGCTGGCATATCAATTTTCCAGGTGTTATCTTTTGGCCCGGCTTCTAGTAATAGAACTTTGTTATTGGGATTTTCCGTTAATCTGTTAGCTAGAACACAGCCAGCTGATCCTGCACCTAAAACAAGATAATCATATGTTGGTAGTTCTTCTAGTGCTTTTTTGGCACGCACTCTGGATGGAATGCTACCACTATTACTAGAATAATGCCTCCGTTGACTAAAGAAAAAATCTTTTATTCTGTTAGAGAGTGTATGATATGTCCGAGTACCTAATTTTTGTGTTGAATCAAGATTAACTGTACTCACTACTGTTTTTTTGTCTGTATCATTAGGTTTTGTAAGTTCTTCTATCACTATGTCTCCTACACAGTATTTTAACACATGACTTACACTTGGCAAAACATGATCAGCGTGTTTTTCTAGTTCACTTCGGGATCCGACTCCGGTTAATACACCTATTTTTGATTTAACTTTAGCCTTCTCACCCATAAACAAATCTTCTACAGTATCACCAACTACTACCACTTTTGAAGGATCCACTTTTAGTTCTTCACAAATAAGATGAGTATTGTGTGCAGACGGTTTAGGTTCGCTTAAAGGATCATCGCCACAAACCATCATGTCAACATACTTCATGATGTCTAGAGTCATTAAATCTTTAAGCGCATTATCTCGATTTTCACCTGTACAAATGGCGACCTTCACTCCTGATTTCTTTAAATTCCTAAAAAGAGTCTTCAGATCTCCACCAACGGACTTGGGATCCGACTTCAATGTGTCTTCACAATCATTCCAAACCTGGTTTACCAACATAATGGCATCTTCATAGTAAAATCCTTCATTCAATAAGATCTGCACAATCGCTGCTTTTATCTTTGGACCTGCTCCTTCAACAGCCAGCAAACCTTGTTTTACTTGGAGAGAATCTTGACATACATCTAGAGTACTGTAAACTTTTTCTGCTAATTCTAACCCTGTTGCTTCATTCAATCTAAAATACATAGTGATAGGTATATGATTAGTATAACAAAATAAAATAACATGTTTGTTGCAACAGTCACTTACCAGGATTTTAATGGTATTGTTACAAGGGTAACAGCAGATTGTTTTCCTACAATAACACACCAAAATTTTGCTGATTTCTACATGAATATGGCTTGTGTATGTCCTAAAAGCATATCTTTTGATGTTTGGCTAGTATGTTTTTGTCTGTATACAAATATGTTTCTGAAGCCAAAAGAGTCAGAACATCATTACTCTTTCTGAAATTAATCACACCAATAGATATTAGATAAGATGTAATGTTGCTATTTCTTTTCTGTACATAAAGGCATAACTAGTCTATAGTAATCTTAAGTTAAAATTAACAAGCCAACAGTGAGGCTGATGTCCCCCGCCGAAATCCCAATATAAATAGATGACACACATTAATCACACATTTATCTTTTTCAAAAATATCGAGCAATCAAACTGGTTATCTATACATGTACTTAGTCTAAGCATAAAATGTTCACTATTGAACTTAGTCAAGGTTTTGAAGTACCTGGTAGTGAAACTATACACTAAGTTTCATCACTCTTTATCAGTTACAATCAAAGTTATCTTGTCAAAAGTATTGACCAATGAAATTGCTTAGCTCTACTTAGCTTTAGCGGGAAATGTTATTCATATAACTCAGTCAAGACATTTCATCTAATGAACATCTATATCAAGTTTAAACATTCTACCTCAATTAAAAGCAGAGTTGTTATGTTCGAAAGTCTTGAATAATCAAATTGATTATTGCTACTTAGCCTAAGCAGAAAATTCTCATCATCAAACTTAGTCAAGGTATTGATATAATGAATTCATACTTGTAGTTTTATCGCTCTCACTCAATTAGAAACAAAGTTATTGTATTCCAAAGTCTCAACCAATCAAATTGCTCCAAGGATCATTAATACATGTGTGTAACTGACTGATGCCTAATTGTCGAGTAATTGGCAGCATTTCATTCAAACAAATCCACCCAATCAGGAGCCACTGGCTGGGGAGAAGCTAAGGAACCGAATTCAGACTGCTTAGTTGCCAACATGATTCCCCAGAGAGAAACGAACGGTAAATATCTCTCTGGGTTCCGAGATTGCAGATAATGCAGTAAGTTTCATCACTCTCACTCTATTAAAATCTAAGATATAGTGTTTCATATCTTGACCAACAGAACTGCTTTTCTCTGCTTAAGCTAAGCAGAAAATGCCCATAATTGACATTAGTCAAGGTATTGGCTATTGATTTAGTTAATCTATACACCAAGTTTCATCACTCTCACTCAAGACAATCACCTAATAAATACTAACATCTACCGTACATTAAGTTTGAACATTCTTCCTCAATTAGAAGCAGACTTATAATGTTCCAAATAGTGTTGCAGATAGACAAATGGACAAACCCCTTTTGATAGTTCTCTGCTTTGTCCCCCTGGTGGGGACAAAAAGTTTTAACAACTGTCAAAGACTGCATTGTAACTAATGATTTCTTTTCGTTATAGGAGACCTACAAATTATATATTCAGAACAGCTGTTACTCAAACGCCTCATGTCAACTGAATTATTCATCAGACTTCAGGTGACTTTATAAATAGATCCCTTGGGTGTGATAGAAAGAAAAACATGGAAGAGAAAAATGATCTTAATCAGATTTCAAAGAGCTAATTTAACACATTAAACCAAACTCACCTTTCACCAAGTTTTTCAGTCCATTTACCATATCTGGTATGGGGACATATTAGAGTACCATGAAGATCTAAAATAACAAGTTCTGCTGTCCTCAAATCTTTAATACGTCTCATATCGGCATCTTCAGTGCAATATGGCTCTACCAGGACCCTGTCATCAGTAGAATAGGCGTAATACTCCCGCCATGAACTATGGGGTAATATCAAAGGCAATATATCCTTCACATCTTTAACAATGTGATCTGCATCTTCCTTGAGTTCATCTGTTCCTCCTATTCCACTCAAAACTCCTATACTTAAACCTAACTTAGCTGATCGACCCATGCCAACATCGGCTTGAGTATCACCCACCATTACAGCTCGATTGGGATTAATATCTAATTGATCACAAATCTTTAAGGCGTTGTACGGAGAGGGTTTAGGTTCAGTATTTGGATCATCTCCACACACGATCATATCAATGTATTTAGTTAATCCAAGAGTAGCTAATGTCAACTCTGTACCTTTTCTCGAATCTGAGGTACAGACCGCAACTTTGATATCGTTGCTTTTTAGGATTTTAAAAAGAGTCTGTAAATCAGTGATGCCCTTTACTACTTCTGGATTGTCGACATCTCCTTCTTGCCAGGATTCTTTGATTACCTCCCACGATCGCTGCTCTGTTAAACCCTCAGATACTAATAATTGCACTAGTTCTTTTTGAACCATAAAACTTGTAGCTTCCGCCAATAACCCTGGATAAATACGTTGGGCGGTTGTACAATATCCAAGTTTGTCAAATATTTTCAGTTCTATATCTAATTCACTGGCTTTGGCAATACTACAAAGAAATAAAGTTTATAACTTAGTGAGATTGCTGATTTGGGCCAACGGAAGAACTCTATCATTTATATTCAAATTCATGAGAACTTGTGAACGCAATTAAGTTGTTCAATGGAGCATGAAGACGAACCTAATTGTTTTTTAAAGGAAAGACATCTTAAAAAAAAGATATCTTTCTGTTTACATTTTGAACGTAACCATGTTGCTGTTAAAATACTTAAATACCGGAGAAAATGCTCATCATCAAACTTACAATTTATTTTAATATAGTCAATGGCTTTCTTTGAAAATCGTGGGACAAAAAATGGACATCTACATCAAGTTTGAGCATTTAGAAGCAGAGTTATTGTGTATGAGAGTCTTGACTAGTCAAATTGTTTATCTCTGTTTAACCTGAGGGAAAAATGATCTACATCAAACTCAGTCAAAACATTTTCCCCAATGAACATCTACACTAAGTTTGAACATATTACTCCAATTGAAAGCAGGGTCATTGTGACCAAAACAGTGTGACAGACCATCCCTATCATCCCCTGCTTTCTTTGTAAAATGTATGGATTATTGAAAGCTCTGTTGTACATGCTAACAAAAAAAAGAATGTGATGACAAACTGGGATGATAATTCATGATCACAATAAAATGCGAATAAAAACAAAATGCAAATGGGGGGAAAACCTTGAATATGGAAAGAATTCAATACATCATCATATTATCATAGTAATAAAATTATTAACAGGTGATAATGAAATGATGCATTATATGAACAGCTGTATACATTGTGAAGCAGACCTGAACTCCTGGAGTAATGGTGATGTGTTTACTATAGTAATGTACATGTAAGTAACCGTAACATAGTTTGAAGTAATGGACACGTAATGAGTACTGGAACTGTTAAAAGGTAATGATAATGGAAACATAATTGATAACACTCAATTACAGTTCAATTACTTTTATATTGCAAATATCAATATTTACAATATTTAAGACAAGCCGCAACTATTACTATTAGCATCAATGCCTTAAATCATGTATATCTAACACAATTCCATCCAATACATTAAATTTATTTTTGCAAAATTGAAATAATAGAGAGGTTTCGCAACTTTACATTTACACTTACATTTAGACGGTAAAACGTCATCGGTTTTTGTGACGTATGACGTAAAGCGCACGTCATTAAAGTGTAGCAGACGGATAGCAGCCTCCATAAATGTAAGTTCACAACACTTAGCTAAACCTTGTTTAATTTCTATGATCAAGTCCATAATTGTTCTCTGAATCGTGGTTTTCACGAACTACATCCACAGAGAAGACCTTCTCCTAGACAAAAAGGAAGAGGCCGAGACAAAACATGACTGCCCATGACTCGTCTATGGTGCTATGTAGGCCTATCGATATCATGGACCTGGCCTAGTCTGTGGCTACCTTGGGAAGACTTGGTTATCCTTCACACTCTTTTTTTGCAGTGGAAGAAACCGAAGAACTTGGAGAAAACCCACTATGTTGGGGAGGAGACCCTAAATTTAGTACATCCTTGCCTCGTATAACTACAAGCTTAGGAAACCACCACGTCACTTGACCCGATGACAGACATTATTTATACCCAGTCTTACTTAGTTAGGATAACCTTAAAATTTCGTCAGCGTCCATGTTCTCGTGCCTATCGTCTGTCGCCACCTACTAAACTAAGTGTAACTGTAAGTGTGAATTTAGCGAAACGTCATAATGTACAGTTACACTTACACTTATCTAAATGTAAGTGTAAGTGTAACTGTTAAGCTGCGAAACCTCTCTAGTAACCTGTTGAATTTACCTTTTGTGAAATTTTATTTGAATCCTTTGTTTGATTGAATTGTGTTCACATTCAAAATTAACTGAGGCGTCAGGGATATATAAAATAAAACCACATACTAAAATCCGATGAAGATTCCAATATAAAGCACATTTGGATGAATGGGCAGGGAGATAAATGTGTACAAAGATGGGAGGTAAAAGAGCAAGTTCTTACTTTTCTGCGACAATGTGAGCCCATGGTGCCCACATTGAATGGAAACAGATGAGAGTTCCATCTTTGTCAAATATAACCAACTGAGCTTTCTTTCGATCTTGTCCATGTGATGTCGATCTTATAGTTTCTTGTATGAATTCTCTGGGTTTTTCAGTTTTCTTGATCGTTGTTGCCTCATGTTGAATAAATTTCTGTGATGATAGAACTGTTAAAGATAAGAAAATAAGCTCATTATATCAGTCATATTTGATAATAGGTTTTTAAACTATAAAACCATACCTCTAAAACAGGCATACCTAAACAAAGATAGAATGTTTAGATTCATTTTAAAATTGTCTAGAAGGACACTATATGAGACAATATTATTATCATTATTAAAATATTAAACACCATTTTGTTCCAAACATTGCATAGTAAATGTTATCTATAAATAGTGTTTTATTTGATTATATTCCAATTACTCAATGCCATTCCAAGAATATATTATCATTATTGTTGCACATTCTGGGCTGGGGTAATGCTGATGGAATTGTAATAATTGCATGTACATTAAACAGAAAAGTAATGTAATTAATGTAATTAATTACATTTGCAATGTGATGGTCGAGCCATGCAAGGACTGAGTGCCCACATGTGCTTTTCAAAATATAACACACACATAAAACAAGTTATACAGCCAGATTACCATTATTGTAATATTATAGTGCTTCAAGCAAGGAGACTCGAAAAGGGGTGGTTGACACCTGAAATTGCAATCTCTGTCTTTTCTGGTAAATAATTTATGACTGAACTTGCTAATATAATGTTTTTATATGAAGACAAGTTAATTTTAGCTGTATACCAGGGATGCTAATAGATAATTAGAATGCAGAATACGTACTGTAGAATATATCTTTATGAGAAATACATACATTGCAGTATCTTTAGTGGACACAAAATTATTGTTAATAAAATCTACATACATATGCATTATGATTTATTGATTTAGTTAAATTATGGTCTAGCCTAGTAATAATAATCCGAACAAAAACAATAGTATTTCACATAAACAATGCCGTGTGAAACCTTAATATTGATCTTCATAGCAACAGTCATTTTCTGTATACAGTTCTGTCAGTTACAAATCCATATAGGTCAGTACATGTAGTAAGCATATACTATTAATTGGTCTAAATGTATGATTATATACATACATGTCCTATCATTAATGAATAGTCTAAACATCAAAAATCTTACCTGGTAAAAATCTTAAATAAGGTATTGATCTGCTTGTCGTTTTCCGACTTAGAAATGATGCACCATGCAACAATCCTCGAAAAGTCTTCATCTTGTTTCTTGACACTTACTCTGTATATGAAAATGTACTAAATGGACAGCTTCGACCTGTAAATATGTGATCAATAAACCAATCAATAATAGAAACATGTACTAAACACTAGATCATCTTACTTGTTGTTGACACATAAAATGCTGAGTGTAGATTAAAATGATAATGATATGTAATCTTTGGTATAACTGACCTTTTGGAAAAGCCTAATATGGTGATATACAAGGCCGACGGAAGCAATTCTTGATTTGGGGGGGGGGGGCTACCATCCTAGGACGTTAGGTGAGGGTCCAGGGGCCGAATAGGCCTTGGAAGCTCCTTGGGATCTAGAGACGCTTTCTGGCTAATGAAATTACTCAGCAATGTTTCTAAATACCTTACCATGCAAAAACATTCGATGGTGGCTTCCTGTGATGCTGAACTTCACAAATATATGTATAATAATTCCAAGGTTAGGGACACTCTAGAGGTCACAATTTTTATACGATTTTGATGAAACTGACAATGTATGTTTATAACCAAAAGATCTCGACAAGTTGAGCTTGTGGGCCCTCTAGACCTCACAGTTTTTATTTGATTGTCAAAACCGTTCAAATATATCACTGTTGCACCATAATTATGGCTGAGTTCAAATTTCGTGAAAATCGGACCCAAACTACCTGACAAAATGGCCACTACCCTTTAACGCATGTAATACCCAGGTTGTGGGCCAGAGGTTCTAATTTTCATCCAATTTTGATATAAATCTAAGGCCAGGGTTCCTTTCGATATTGGCACTATAGCTTTCTGCATTATGACCCCTAATTTACGAAATATTACGTTTTTAGCTTGTGGACCCTCTAGAGGTCACCATATTCATCTTATTTCCAAAACTGTTCAAATGTATCACTGTTACATCATAATTATGAATTTCCTGAAAATCGGACCGAAACTTTCAGTCAAATGGCCATGACCCTCCTTTACGCAAATAGTATAAAAGCATGTAATACCAAGGTTGTGGACCATCTAGAGGTCAGATGTTTTATCCGATTATGAACTTAAAATGAGCATCACTAGCTCTTGGATGAGTTCAATTTTGGTGCAGACGGGTAAAGTGAAAACAAAAATTAATATTTCATCTAGTTGGCAAAATAAAGTGCCCGAAATCTAGTAACACACTGATTTTACTTTTCTTTTAATTGAATACCACGAATTTGTACTGAATTGACTATAGATTGTCTGGAGTCATTCTATTTTGTGTGACATTTTTTGGCCATCGGTTATGTTTTGTGAATGCAGCTGCAACAGTCTGATTGGATGGTTGGAATTTGGGTCAGCATAGAGCGGGATTTCGGATGAAAAGCAACTGGAAACATTGAAGTTGCTTAATTCATGGGCTAGAAAAAAAAAAAAAAAATGCATTTACGGTGGTTGAATTTTCTAAATTTTCTTGAGGAGTGCGAGGCCCCCATACCCCGCGACGATTGGTTGTTTGGGATATGGGATTTAGGTAAGTATCTGTATTCACGGGATGGTCTAGCAGGAAAACATGTTTGCTCCAGATGAATTTTTAAACATTCATCGAGCTTGTACGCCTATGCATCACTGGATCATTTTATGTGTAGATTTATCTTGATAAAAGGACACCGGCGAAACGTGAAACACCCTTCATAAAAGGCTTCTGCTTATTAAAAAATTAAGTCATGCTCCAAATGTAGAAATGTGTGTGTCCTACTTGGTAAGCTCTGCTCCTTTGCCTCTCGCAGATGACCGAACCACCATCTGTAACCCGCAATTATTTTATGGGGGCAATTTAGGTTCTGCCTATTTATGGAGCCTGTACGCCTTTGCTCGCAACTGGGGATCTCTCAACCCAGGGGTCGGTATAGAGCATAATAGGTTTTTTTTCCTAAAGACAACGTTCTAGAAGTCTCACTTCTATGTTAAAATCAGCTCTTGTTGTATTTAACGGCATAATTACTTTCGTGCAATAACCCGAAGAAAAGAGTACTTGCAGCCAAATTAAGGCGGGGGCTGATATAACAGTTATTAAAACTGTATGAAAGTACCGGTATGTAGGGGACCCATGTTAGTTTCTAATATCAATGGTTGGCAACTATGTTTTATTGTGATATAAAAATTTTAATAAGTCCATGATTGTATCTTAGTTTCTAATACCCCGAGATTCAGCCATGTTGAGGTATTGCCTACAAAACATGTTCTAAAATCAGACAAAATAAATTAACCACATACCGGTATGTGTCCAATTGAAATAACATTTCAGATGCATTTATTAAATCAACACTTTGTTGGCATGGTTATTTACGAAAGCCCAGAAGGCTCATTCCAAATTCCAAATTCATGTCTTACTGGCAGGCTAATTCCATGCCAATGTTCCACACTTGAACAAAAATAAAATGATAAGGAGGAAGTGCAATGCATTTTTTTTTTTCAATATAATTATGTTGAAGTTATTTAAATTGGGTTGATATTTTATCTGTCTTACATTATCACCAAAATACGAGGCGCCGAAGTTATTGGTCATTTTTAAAAAAAATAGTTATGATTTAGCAGCCTAAATTTAATTTGCTTTGTTGTAATAAAAAAGGGGTAGAAAATGATGATAGTGGCATATTTGTATCATATAAACTAGTAATAAACCGTGCAGTGTATATAATTTCTTTGAGGGTAAGTTAAAGTATCTTTCAAACAGAAAATCTTAACAATAAATTATTGTCCCGTCTGTCACAGAATACACTGAAATGTTTGTGTATTAACAGAACTAGGTAATATTTAAAAGTTTAACAATAATAGCTATCTCCTTCTTTATATGGATTTCAAACATCCAAAGACAAGTATTCATCACTCATCATTTACTCCCAACTTCTTTATCATTTCAAATAAGTTTGCATTCTCTCTTGTCCAAATTTGTCCCGTCTGTCATGCATAAAAACTCACCCCTAAAAGTATATTTTTAAGATATTGCTCTCATCCTTGCCCCAGATATGATCCTTAATTTATGGGATACCTGACATCATTATAACAATGTAGTTTAAATTTTAATTGAGAATTTTTGTTTTGAATAAATCCTTTGAAAACTGGATGCAAATTAATGTTCCGTCTGTCACGGTCATGGTTTAGGGGATGACATCTAGAGATTGTTTTAATGAGTTAAGTTTCATATTTTATATGATATTATATGTTCTCTGCTAGGAAATACCATGTTTAAATTCCCTTCTATCCGTAGTATCATATGGGCTTGACATTTTACATGGTCACCTATTCTGTCCCATCTGTCACGCTGAAATTAGCCACCAATAAAATAGCAAATTGGCAGCCCCAGCCCCCTCAATTAAACAAATTAGAATTTAAATCAATTGTAATTTTACACAACTAATTAGTGCGAGTTTACCTATCTGATGCCTGGGCCGGATAAACACCCTTTCCAAATTACTAGATTTGAAATTCCAAATTCCAAATGCGAAATTCCAAATTCATGTCTTACCAATGAAATAGCAAATTGGCAGCCCCCTTCCATTAAACAAATTAGAATTTAAATAAATTGAAATTTTACACAGCTAATTAGTGCGAGTTTACCTATCTGATGCCTGGGCCGGATAAACACCCTTTCCAAATTACTAGATTCGAAATTCCAAATTCCAAATGCGAAATTCCAATTTTCAAATTCGACATAATCATGTGACACAATCATCATGGCAGCTAGGGTGTTTGGTACGACAAGAATTTGGAATTTCGCATTTGGAATATGGAACGAGCCTTCTGGGCTTTCGTATTTATTCCAGTTTATTAAAATCTTATCTCAATAAATATACAAGTGGTTGCCATGCAAGATACACCCACATTTAGAAAGGGATGGACAGAGAACCAGCTAAAAACAAAACAATTTTTCGTACAATACGTGGCCATAATCCAGGAAGTTATGGTCCAATACACGCAATTATCGAAAGAAAGACAAATATTTGGGATATAATCATATATTTTATGTTTCATTGTATCAGTTAAAAATTGTGACCTCTAGAGGGTCCAGAACATATACATTATTTGTGTACATGGAGCGGCCATTTTGTCGGGCAGTTTCTGTCTGATTTTCACTGAACTCCAACCCTGCTGGCAATATGGTGTAACGGTAATATATTTAAACAGTGTTTTAAATCGGATACAAATTGTGACCTCTAGAGGGTCCACAAACTAAAAACACAATTTTTTATACAATCAGGGGCCATAATCCAGGAAGTTAAGGTCCGATATGGGCGAATATTGAAAGGAACCGAGACCTTTGGGTAACAACCTTACATTTTAAGTTTCATCAAAATCGGATAACAAGAGATGGACAGAGAACAATCAGGGGCCATAATCCAAGATGCTACGGTCCGAGATAGAGAGAAAAATGGGGTTTAACGTCCACTCGACACAAACTAGGTCATTTTGGGACTTAGCAGTGGGAGGAAACCGGAGGAACCGGAGAAAACCCACGAGGTTGGACAGGCGACCCTACTCCTTGCCACGTACAACAGGGGATTCGAAACCACGCCAGTCGATTCAATGACAGACTTAATGATACAGCGCGCGCACGCTAACCATTCAGCCATCCAACCCCCCTGCTACGGTCCGACATGTGAAAATATCAAAAGGAACCAAGATCTTTAAGATATAAACATATATTTAAAGTTTCATCCAAACTGTACAAAAATCGCGACCTTTAGGGGGTCTACACAATAGAAACAGCCTTTCACACTATTTGCGTACCAGGACCGTCCATTTTATCAGGCAGTTTCCGTTCGATTTTCACTAAATTTTAACTCAACCATCTTCAGGGTGAAACAGTGTTAAATTTAAACTGTTTTTCAAATTGGATAAAAATTGTGACCTCTAGAGGGTTCACAAGCTAAAGAAACCAAGATCTTTTGAAGATACATGTAAACTTATATGTATTTCAAGTTTCATCAAAATCAGATAAAATTTGTAACCTACAGTGTCCACAATGTAGCAACACTGCACAACAAAACAATTTAGAAAGAACACAGTAAACCCAGCAAATAATAAGTTAACCTTTCAGGCTAAAGACAATATGTTAATTAATGCAAAACTATGATTATGAATACTATAATACTTAACTAAATATTATAAATCTAGTTTCAGGCTAAAGACAATATGTTAATTAATGCAAAACTATGATTATGAATATGAATACTATAATACTTAACTAAATATTATAAATCTAAACTCTAAGCCTACCTCGATATGAACCTATAATAAGAAATATTTTAAATAACATAACTATATGACGATTATGTGCCTGCACCTGCACATTGCAAGTTCATACATGACTGCAATATGTTGATCATACAGATTAACAGGAGTCATCCCAGATATATAGAGGATATTTGTCGTTTTAGAGTGAATAACATATTTTATTTCATCGAGAAGCAAGAAAACTTATAATACGTATTCTTGCTTAGAGATGAAATAAAATATGTTATTCACGACAAAACGACAAATGTTCTATTTATTTTATGATTTTACAATTATTTTAGGTAAAAACAGCATGGACTACTTTAGCCAGTGGAATAACACTTTTATTTCACTGATAAAACGCGGTATTCCACTACTGATCATAAAATAAATTTCTTTATTCTTCACATAAACTAAGAACATAAGCCAATTTGAAAAAATAAAGATAGCCATATGACACAATGCATGGCAATATGCCCACACTGCAGCTATATCTTAAAAACAATATAACATAACCATAGACTGTAAGCTTTCCCCCCCAAAAAAATTGGATGTTGACTAAATTTGAAAAGGATCCTTTACTTTATGCCTTCAAAAATTCTAATTTCTGTTGAGTTCACAACCTTTTCTAGACTATTAATATATCTCTGGACAAGAGATGGATCCATGTATGCATTTCCATACACTTTTTGGTATTTCTATGAGTAATCGCTGAAAAGTTTGGGGAATCCCATGTACCGTATATCATGTCATAACTGAGGATTTCTCTTTACACAGCATTGCCGAACTCATTTTAATAGTTCCCTGCTTTCTTTGAAAGGCGGGGGGCAATAAGCTTTCATATGAAATATGAAAGTTTAATGAAAACAGTCCGAGTTAATGAGGCCTCAAGATAAACTTTTTTCTCTGTAAATTAAATTACTGAATAGTTTTTTAAATTATTAAGAAATAAGTGTAAGTGGAGAAAACAAATTTCATATTTAATGTAAACGGGTACCGTACATAAAATAGTATGCAAAGGTATAAAATGATTAAAAAGTGACATTCTGCCAGGACCAGTTTGTATACATGTAGGCCTACATGTGCATCCGATGTACCATAATCAAAGCATGTGTGACGAAAAATATGATGGTTTTGAATAGTTTATTTACCTTTGTTACCATCTAATCTATCTAACTCAACTGACGTGCTTGTACTTTAAATTTATAATTTAAATACGTCAGTGATAAAAGAAACCTTATTGCAGTTATCTCTGTGTAACAATTTTGATAAGAAGTGACTGGTAATTTCCAAGTCAGACGATTGAATCCAGACTGTCCTTTATGTCTAGCTGTATAGGTGAAGGTCAGATGGCATATAATTGTCATTTGGCTTTTCTCTCTTTAAATAATCTGTTGGCCTATGTATGTGTCCCCTGTGGATCCTTGATTGGGTAAAAAGGTTATTATCATAATATTCCATCTTATCTATAACATTATTTTATTCTGTCATATCAATTATCAAAAACCCCATTAAAAGGACTCATAATCTCAATTTAATATCAAAATTAATCACAGCTTAGCTATAGATCATTAGATCTACACATCAATTCAATGACAGTCTTTTCAGAAGTTGTTCTATTCATATTAATTTAATAAATTAACGTGTGCATTCCATTGACATCTTTCGACTGGAATTGCAGAATACAATATCATGTGTGAAACATATTAGTGATACAAGCTAACACTGTAACAGTGAGACCGATGTCCCCCACCAAAATCCCAAAATAAATTGATGACACATATTAATTAATCCCACATGACATTGATTTTTTTCAAAAGTATCAAGCAATCAAACTATACACTAAGTTTCATCACTCTCTATTTATTATAATATTAATAAATAAAACGGTACTGTCTATATTACTAGTATTTGACTGTATAGCCTACTTAATACTAATAAAGTCTAATATCTATACCATTACTACTACTGACTGTAGGCCTACTACTACTACGAGCTACCCGGTATATAATATTATATAGTCACATAGTGTGAAATAGTGCATGTCGTGATGGCTATATGTTAATATACATTTAAAGGTAGCCAAATGACAGAATCGGGATGACACACATCCTTCTTTTGCGGGACTCTGCTGTTATTTATACTAACATGTTATCAGCTAATGACTATCAAACTGTTAAACGTGTCTGTTGCATATCATGCTCGAAACACATCGTCGGTCGGTGACTTACCGATACTTCCGTCTTTAGACTCGGTTGTCAAATTAACAACAAAGCAGTAAAGAACATTCGAGCATCCAGTACCTTACCTTGGCGAGCCACCGACAAAGTTCCATCCAATGCCATGTTATGTTCCTAGCTACCGATTCTACTTGGTTGATTCTCTATTAATGGAAGGATTACAGGTAACCAGATATGTGTTACATACCAATGTCAATGAAAGGTTACATGTCTTTCTTTTTTCTTTTGCTGTAATGACTGCAGTAGGCCTTTCATTCCCTTTTTTCCTGTTATATAAACTACCAAAAAGTATGGAAACACATTTCGGCTATTTTATTATCTTGACTTCTTGACCCGAAATGTCAAGGACAAGAGCGTGGATATCACATAGAATTATAGCTACGAGAACGTAGTTCCATCAAAATCGGATCAAAATTGTGATCTCTAGAGGGTCCACAACCTTGATATACCTTATTTTTATACTATTTGCATACCAAGGGACTACAAGCTAAAAATGCGATTTTTCGTACAATCAGGGACAATAATTCAGGAAGTTACGATCCGATATGCACGAATATCGAAAGGAACCAAGATCTTTGGGTTAAAAACATGCATTTCAAGTTTTATCAAAATCAGATGAAATTTGTTTAGTTATGGTTCGATACATGACAATATCAAAAGGACGGACGAACGGACAGGGGCGACGGCATATTAATACGTCCACATGAAAATGTGGGCGTATAAAAAATGTTGATAGAATATATGAAGAGAGAGAGAGAGAAATGTGGTTTAACGTCCACTCCACACAAACTAGGTCATTTCGGGTCTAACATATGGTTCAATTTTATTTCAATAATTCGCTTGCGTGTTGGGGTCTTTAGTGGCTATGAGAACGCGGCTAAAAACGTTGAGATATATACTGATGTGGTTGTTTTTAGCTACGATTGGGTGCCTTTAGTTCCAAGCAGCAAACTCAGTTTCTTTATTCTAGATACATTATGGGAGATAAGATAAAGAGATGGCAGTTCTCGCTATAATAGTTAAAAACTAGATAGTGTAAAGGTAATTTGCTGAAAATTTCAGTCAAATTGATCCACTATGAGCCGAGAAAGAAGCGTGTGAAATTTTTGCATAGTCTCGGTCATCATTACTAAAATCATTAATATAAACAGCAGTCTCGATTATCCACTTTTTCTGATTTAATTATCAGTGGCCGTTAGCGGCATATAGGAATCTAATCCAGCCAACATCGAAGGCTAGCCTTGACATCGAGAGTTTATTATGGTCTGGATAAGTTAATTAATGTCTAATTGATAATTTAGATAACATTTCAGGCCTAAAGAAAGACTTGTAATAAGCAGATTCTGCTCTTGCATAATGCATATTTAATGTATGTAACATCTTAAAAATAAGATAATTTTATACTATTATGACCAATTAAACTTACAGAGGCCAATGTAGTGGCACAACTATCGTCTAACTCCAAATATTTCCGTTTAAATTAATGAAGCCTTATATTTAGCTCCGCCTTCATGGTGATACTGATAGCGTCATATCTCCCGTTTAAAAATGGCGTTCCTAGTAACGGCTAATGACTCGATTTTAAATACGATGATTTATACCCGTTTCAGGTAGGAAGGATTATATGCTTAATTGTAGTTGGATGTGGCAGAAATATTATAAATAACAATGAAAAATATTGTCAGTTTTGCTTACTGAGTCCCGATGTGATTTGCGCTGGGCTTTGCTTCGTGGAACTATATAGCACCATCTCTTATCTCGAAACATGGAGGGTTGAGAGATGAGGTTTGTTATCTATGGTCTTTATCAGTGGGAGGAAACCAGATGACCCAGAGTAAACCCACAAGGTTGGACTGGTGATCCTACTCCCTGTCACATACCACTGGGGAATCGAAACCATGCCAATTGACTCAATGACAGATCTTACGATACAATGTTCATGCGCTAACCATTCGGCCACCCAACCCCGCAAGAATATATGGAAAGCTATGTATAATAAAAGAATTTTGCTGATATAATATGAACTTTTAAAACTATATTTATAGGAAGTACACTACCAATTATAATCTCTATCCTAGACCCACAAATGTATTTCCTTCTATTTACAGTCTCTCTGTCTCCTTTTTCCCCCCTTTTAAGGGCCATTTCCAATGACTTTTTGGTATTGAATCAAAACAAAGTGGGCTTGAATAAATACTTTCTGCCATGTTTTGGTGAATATTCATGGTTTAGAGGTGGAAGGATACATGGCTAAGAGGTTGGTTATGGTGATATTTACAGGGATAGTTACATGTTTACTAGATGGATACTTCAAATTTGTGTGTCTCAAAATTTCAATGGTCAACCTCATACAAGCTTTGGAGTAAGACATGGCCAGATGTTGCTCTGTCTGTGGTGGAGAGTATTAAGCCCAACAAAAATTTGAGAAAAAGTTGGAGCCCTGCAACGGAACAAGAATTAACATTAAAGTGTATGGGATAATTAATAGTGGTCTTGCCTTTTCACGACCTCCCATTCCTTTGAGCGTGGGCAGAAAATATTTATGTTCCAACAAATAAAAGAAGAGTATATCCATAGACTTCATATACTGTGTAAAAAAATATCTGTGGAAAAGAAAATACCTTACAGATGCTTTCCTACATACAAACTGTGTGATTTCATGACATATTTGGACTAAAACCATATTCAAACTAATTTATATAACTATCAAAAGTTTGCTTCAAATACCCCAAGCTGTAAACATCTATTTTAAGGAGCCTTGTTGTCTATCACATGACTTGATTAAGGGAGAGCCAATTTGTCGCTGCTTAAGTAAATTCTTGGATTCCTGTCAACTTCTGTTTCCGCCGTTTAATCACTATTCACAGGCTGATGTATCCTACATTTCAGTCCATCGCTTTTCTAACAAACGCTAACTATTTGACCAAGAAATATATAAAATTTCAATTCAGATGTTGCAGATTTTTCTAAAAATTATTTAATTTTGTGCATAACAATACAGTACTTTGAGGACAATTTATATACTACAGATTTTCCTTTTTCACACCATGATTTCAACTCTGCCTGACATGACCTAAAATTTAGTGTACATTGACATTTCCCCTAAAACTGGAAACCGTGGTGGCTCAGTGTTTAGAATGCTGGCTCACTAACCTGGAAGTCCTGGGTTTGATACCAGAGTTTGACCAAGAGATTATCTCAAGATTATCCCAAGTGTGCCCTTTGACATAAACATAATTGTCACCATGAATGTTCAAATAACAAAATGCATGATAACGAATGTGGTTTGAGTTTGTGAAGATATGTGCTGAATTGGGTAAATTCTGCTCTTGGTGGTAGCCAGTGAATTTTGAAGATGAGAAGTTGAGAAAGTGAAAAGTCAAGGATTTTCAAACCAAGAAAGCAAAATGTAGATCGAGGGACGAGGGAACAAGAAGTGGGGGAAAATAATCTTGTGTTCTCAGTGAAGATTCCTGACTCCTCACCCCCTAATTCTATTAGATAACAAACCTTAATCTCTCAACCCTTCGTGTTTCGAGATAAGACATGAGGCCATTACCTATAACATTGCACCTGCGGGAGCGATTCACACCCGGCATTTTTAAACAAAATTGACAATAGTTTTAATCAAAACAACGATTGATTATTGTAATTTATAATATTTCTACAACACCCAACTACAATTAAGCATAAAATCCTACCTGAAACGGGTAATCGTCGTTTTTAAAATCGAGGCGTTAAGCCGTTAATAAGACCGCCATCTTTTTAAACGATACGCTGTCATCATGAAGGCGGGGCTAAATATAAGGCTTTTATAACAGCCAATCAAAAGGACAATCGAAAGCACAGTAACTATGAATGGATTTCAATGACGGTGAAATGTCAGACAAAAACAACGCTTCATTAATTTAAACGCGAATATTTGGAGTTAGGCGACAGTTGTGCCACTACATTGGCCTCTGTAAGTTTAATTAATCATAATATCATAAACTTATCTATTTTAAAGATGTTACATGCATTAATAAAGAAATTAGGTTTGCCACTTGGAACTAATAAGGCATCCAATCGTAGCTAAAAACAAACACATCAGTATATATCTCAACGTTTTTAGCCGCGTTCTCATAGCCACTAAAGACCCCAACACGCAAGCGAATTATTGAAATAAAATTGAACCATATGTTAGACCCGAAATGACCTAGTTTGTGTGGAGTGGACGTTAAACCACATTTCTCTCTCTCTCTCTTCATATATTCTATCAACATTTTTTATACGCCCACATTTTCATGTGGACGTATTAATATGCCGTCGCCCCTGTCCGTTCGTCCGTCCTTTTGATATTGTCATGTATCGAACCATAACTAAACAAATTTCATCTGATTTTGATAAAACTTGAAATGCATGTTTTTAACCCAAAGATCTTGGTTCCTTTCGATATTCGTGCATATCGGATCGTAACTTCCTGAATTATTGTCCCTGATTGTACGAAAAATCGCGTTTTTAGCTTGTAGTCCCTTGGTATGCAAATAGTATAAAAATAAGGTATATCAAGGTTGTTGACCCTCTAGAGATCACAATTTTGATCCGATTTTGATGGAACTTATAATACATGGTTATATCCCAAAGATCTTGGTTTCTTTTCGATATTCATGCAAAGTGGACCGTAACTTCAGAATTATGGCCCCTGATTGTAAGAAAAATCGCGTTTTTAGATTGTGGTCCCTCTAGAGCTCACGATTATTTTTTGATTTAAAAAAACTGTTTGAATATATCACCGTTACACCCTAATGACGTTTTAATTTGAATTTCTTGAAAATCAGACAAAAACTGCTGGACAAAATGGCCACCCCTCATACGCAAATAGTGTAAAAAATATGGTATATCAAAGTTGTGGACGCCTCTAGAGGCCACAATTTTGATCCAATTTTGATGAAACTTTATGTTTAAATAACAAAGACCTTGGTTCCTTTTGATAATCACCCATATCCAAACGTAACATCCAGGATTATGGCCCCTGATTGTTAAAAAAAACACATTTTTAGCTTGTGGACCTGCTAGAAGTCACAATTTGTATTTAATTTTAAAAACCGTTTAAATATATCACTGTTAAACATCAATGAAGTTTGAATTCGAATTTCGTGGAAATGGAACTGTAACTGCCCGACAAAATAGCCGCCCCTCGTACGCAAATTGTGTGCAAGTATTTAATACGAAGGTTGTGGAGTCCTAGAGGTCACAATTGTTGTCCGATTTTGATGAAACTTAAAATATATCTTTATATCCCAAAGATCTCAGTCCCTTTCGATATTCGCACATTTCAGATCATAACTTTGTGGATTATGGCCCCTGATTGTATGAAAAATCGTGGGTTTTTTTTTTAGCTTGTTCTCTATCCATCTCTTTCAAAATGTGAGCTTCTCCTGCCTGGCAGCCGCTGGTATGATACCATGGACCCTATAAATAAGGTCCTTGGTAATACAATGTATTTAAAATCTTTATACATGTATTCCATAAATTGTTGTATTTACACAGACTTCCGACTGCCATCCTAATATATTGTAGTTTAATTTTCTAAATAAGACATTGTTCCTGACCATGTTTAATGGTTTATTACTTTATGTACATTATATGAATTGTAAAAATTTTAGTACAAACAGTACTTAATCTTACTTGCATTATTTTGGGAGATGTTTTATAATATATGTTTTAGACATAACTATAGAAACAGTTGATGCATGGATTGAACAAGAGAAAGCAGAATCCAACTTTATCATAGGGCAACATTTAACAAATTAAATATAGTAATTATCAAATTGTTAACATTAATTCTAACTCTCATCACTTTCACTTTATCATATATATAACAGCATAATATACTGTTTAAATATAATGGTCGTACACAACTCTTTGGATTATTTTATTTGCAAAATAAAGTCTGATTTCTGAAATAGATATTATAGGTAAAATTAATTATATTTATGATATGTTCGTTAAAAAAGTATTAACATTAGTGTTACTTTGCTCTTATTTTTTTAACAAATTTTCACAAGTTGATTTCCTTTATTTTGTTAATGTAGAATGGTAATGAACTGCTCTTTTCATTTCCTTTGTTTTATTTGTTTCGTTTGAATTTGATTTATCAGTTTAGTTTTTGATTGTTTAATTTTTGTTAATGAAGTTGATTTTATTTTTGAACTCTACTTGGTGTAGGTGTTCATCAGGTAATACCTTGACTGAGTTCAATATAGAGATTAGCCGGTTGATTTGTTGGATATAAACCTTTGAATAATAGCGCCTAACAGGCAGCTGTGTTTAATTATGTTCTCCTGATTTTGATTGTTTTTGTGTGTTTTAAGTATATGTTTGTGATATGCGCTTAGAAACACTTCACGTGTAATGAAGCGCTATATAAATCGAACAATAATAATAATAATAATACAAAATGAACACGGAGTTGACTGGAATAACCAGATGCTAAAGACAGCCATTCAATTTTGACTATTCACATATTTCGCCGAACATAACCGATTAGAAATTACAGTAAAAACAAAAACGATTGAATGTAAATCAGTTTATATACATTCATATAATTATATATGCTTTGTGACCCATATTTCGCCGAAAATAACCGATTAGAAATTACAGTAAAAACAGAAACGATTGAATGTAAGTCAGTTTATATACATTCATATAATTATATGAGTTGCAACCCATTTGTGTCCATTATTTGGTGCCAAAGAATAGAGATTTAGCTCCTTTAAATTGGTATAATATGTTTATTTCAAAGAACTAAAAAACACCAAATTGTTAGAATATTGGGGAACATCAGTAACACAGAGCACTAACTAAACACCTATATATACTCTTCAAAAAAAGTAGGGGATATTCAGAAACAATACAAAACTGCGGAAATGTACTGCTGTTTTTATTAGAGGTAACTAGTGTATGTTAATAACAGGCCAATTGCCTACACATAAACATAAACAGTTCTTATTGGCGGCTTATCTGACGGCACCATTTCACTCGCAAAGAGATACACTGTCAAAAGTGAAAATAGACGTTTTTGATTTTTGTCTTAATAATGAGTAATTGCTCCACCAATCCTCACACATTTAGCAATTTGTCATGGCATGCTCCTAATCAACCGTCCAATCACGATTTGGGCCAATCTGACCCACTCCTCTTGTAGTTCCACAGCCAATTCTTGCAGTGTTGTCGGTCAAATTAAACATAACACACTAAAGCAAAGATACGCTAAACAGTAAATCTTATGCAAGAACTGATAGGAAAGCAAACATGGATAGGATAAACCAGCATGCGGCAGTTTTCATCAACCCTTCCTTGAAGTGTCAAATTTGACAATGAACCCCTCCCACGTGTATGGCGCTATTGCATGTCGCAGGTGCAGCTCAGTGGTTTTGTTGGGGCGATAAGTTCTTCATCTGTGAACATACTCTCGAAGCATGTCAAGTGTCCATGACTATTTATCATATCACAACCTGCATAAGTATTTGCATTTCAATATCCCCTACTTTTTTTAAGAGTATATGTTGTCCCTATATATTAAGACGCTGGCTCGCTACCCTGGAGGTCGGGTGTTCGATCCCTGCATTGGCCGAGAAAGTTCCTCTGGATTTTCCGACGTGGTTTCCCCATGTCAGTGGTGCAGAACGGAGGGCCTGACAAGGACAGCTGTCTAGTCCTTCGAATGATACGAAAAACCAAGGTCCCGTGTATACATTGGATTGCACGTAAAAGATTCCTTGGCAGTTGGAATTCGATATAAGAGTAGGCGATAGTGCCGCTGCCCGGGCAAAATTTCCCTCATAGCACACTGTATGGCGTATGCCCGTCTTCATTAGCCCAGTATAGGAGCAGAACAGGAGGACGTTAAACCCCTTTTCATTTCATTTCATGTTCCTATATATGACATACACATTATAGTCTCTTATCACTTCTTCTCTAACCTGGCCTATATATATATAGAAACAGATATTAGCATATTATTTTAAAGGGTCGATTAGTTATGTACATAGCTTTAGTTTCACATGACTCCTTATCTTTGACACAATTATTGCAAGTATATTCACTCTGAGGATATAAGAAACCTTTTGCAGATTGTAAGATATTTTTTTCTTTTTATTTTCTTCTTGTCCAGATTTTTAATTTCATCACTTTACAATCCTATAAATTCTTTCATTGATTGTTTAATTTACTAGCTAGCACAAACGACACAAAATTTTCTATGTGAAGTAGTATTTCCTCCACTTCGTAAAAGGTCTATAGGTATGTCTTCTTTTTTCAAACATGCTGGAATGTTTGGGCTAGTTTATAGAAGCAACCCTATCAAAATTGAGAATTTCAGAGTTACTGCCCTTGTTCCGTCCTATCAAAGGGGTAACCCTGTTCTTATTCTGATTCTAAGAGATTGTTTTCTAAGCTTGTCTTAATCGTACCAAAATTTTACCCATGCATTTTATACAGATTATTTTCTTGACCTTGAAAACATGAAAGTCACTTTTCAAAATGTTGTTGATGTTTGAACATGTATTGCCTGAAATAGTTATTGAAATAATAGATAGCATTTATTATAAAAACAAAACAAAATGAACATGTAAATTTCAGTATATTTTCTGTTGATGAAAATAGATATTTTGATTTTTTTTAAGGTGTTGTTTGAGTTTGTTCAACCATGGTTAAAATAGCAGTTATTGGAGCAGGAGTTGTTGGCTTGTCTACAGCTATCAATATACAAGAATTAATACCAACTGCAACTGTCACTTTATTTGCTGATAAGTTTGAAAAGGATACTACCAGTTGGGGGGCTGGGGGCCTTTTCCGACCGACATTTCATCACATTAAAGGCGATAAAGAATTGATAAGGTAACCTATAATGCTAATGGGTAATTAGATATATTTTATGCATGCTTTTATACACATTGTTGTATTTTGCTGTTGCATCTGTCCATTGGTCCAACTGTCCACAATCCACAATGTCTTATAATCACACTATACAGACTGCTGTCGTCGAGTGCTCTAAAATGTGTCCTTAAGACAGGCCAGTCATCTTAAGTGTCATGATTTCGATCTCAGACTTGCATGTGACCAATTCTTAATGAAACATCTTGAAAACTTTTCATACTTATGCCCCAAGGCTGACCTCTATTATTTTTGGTGCATGCCCGACCCACTGGAACAGAGCTATGTCCAATGTTTGTGTCTGTGTGTCGCCTACAGGCCACAATTCTTGAAAGAGTCTTTTGTAACTTTGCATACCTATTCTTTATACCCTAAGGATGATCCCTATTATTTTTGGTGAATGTGTGTTGCCCACAGGCCACAATTCTTGAAACTTTGCATACCTATTCTTTATACACTAGGGATGATTCCTATTGTTTTTAATGAATGCCCAAACCCCAGCGGCAGAGCCACACCCATTTTTTCTTTGTGTGTCTGTGTTTTGCCTATAGGCCACAATTCTTAATGGATCGTCTTCGAACTTGGCCTATGTATTCCTTATAGCCTGAGGACGCCAACTATTGATTTTGGTGCATGTCCCGACCACCAGAGCCAATTTTGTGTTAATCGTATACAGGCAGCAATTATGAATGGATCATCTTGGAACTTGCCTTATGTATTCCTTTTAGCCTAAGGACAGCAACTATTGATTTTGGTGCATGCCTTGAACCCCAGTGGCAGAGCCATGCCCATAGTTTGTGTTTAGCATCTGAAGGCCACAATTCTGAATGGATTATCCTGGAACTTGGTATACTTATTCCTTATACCCAAAGGACGGCAACTATTGATTTTGGTGCATGCCCCGACCTCCAGCGACAGAGCCACGCCTATTTTTTATACGCCAACATTTTAATGTGGACGTATATTGTCGTGGCCCCTGTCCGTCCGTCCACAATTGTTTGTGGACACTCTACAGGTCACAATTTTTATCTGATTTAACGAAACTTGAAATATAGGTTTATCTCCCAAAGATCTCTTTTCCTGGCGATATTGGCATGTATCAGACCGTAACTTCATGGATTATGACCCCTGATTGTATGAAAATCGTGTTTTTATCTTGTGGACACAATAGAGGTCACAATTTTTATCCGATTTTGTTGAAACCTTGAAATGTAAGTTTATAACCCAAAGATCTTGGTTCCTTTCGATATTCACGAATATCGGACCGTAACTTCCTGAATTATGGCCCCTGATTGTGCGAAAAATCGCGTTTTTAGCTTGTGGACCCTATAGCATTCATAATTTTTATCCGATTTAAAAAAAACGTTTGAATATATCACCGTTACATCCTAAGGATGATTGAGTTCAAATTTCGTAAAAATCGGACCAAAACTGACAGACAAAATGGCCGCCCCTCATACTCAAATACCATAAAAAATATAGTATATCAAAGTTGTGGACCCTCTAGAGGTCACAATTTTATTCTGATTTTGATGAAACTTGAAAGTTTACAACCCAAATATCTCGGTTCCTTTCGATATTCGCACATATTGGACCGTAAATTCCTGAATTATGGCCCCTGATTGTATGAAAAATCATATTTTTAGCTTGTTGTCCCTCTAGAGGTCATAATTATTGTCCGATTTAAAAAAAACATTTGATTATATATCACTGTTACACCGTAATGTTCATTGAGTTCAAATTTTGTGAAAATCGGGCCAAAACTGGCAGACAAAATGGTTGCCCCTTGTACGCAAATAGTGTATAGCATCTGGTATATCAAGCTTGTGCACTCTAGAGGTCACAGTTTTTATCCGATTTTGATGAGAGGTATAATACATGTTTATAACCCAAAGATCTTGGTTCTTTTCGATATTCGTGCGTAGCGGATAGTTACTTCCTGAATTATTGCCCTTGAATGTACAAAAAATCATGTTTTCAGCTTGTCGTCCATGCAGAGGTCGCGATTTTTATCCGATTTAAAAAAAACATGTGAATATATCACTATTACACACTAAGATCTTAGTTCCTTTTGATAATCGCGTATATCTGAATGTAACTTCCTGGATTATGGCTCCTGTCTGGCAGCCGCTGGTTGTGTTTAGTGTCTGGAGGCCATAATATTAGATGGATTATCTAATATTATACTTATTATACGTATACTTATTCCTATTCCTTATACCGTAAGGAGGGCTACTATTGATTTTGGTGCATGATCTGCCTTGCTTGGGTGGTGCCACACACACTTGTTGTTGATATTTTGTCTGTAATTAATCTACGGGTTGCATTTATTGACAGATTAGGATCCATTTCGGCATGATCCACCATAGAGTTGTACCTATTTATATTGTTCCATATCCAACCCCCAGGAGCCAAGCCACGCCCAATTTTTGTGTTTATCGTCTGAAAGGATCATCTTGGAACTTTGCATATTTACTGTATTTCTTATACTGTAAAGATAGCAATTATTTATTTTGGGGTAATGTGGATGTATATTGCAGTGGGACCGATGCGCTTGTTTTTTTTTCCACCAGAATATGTTACAAGCTTTCTTTGCATATTACAGGAGATGGGTTGAAGCATCATGGAATTTTTATTCAGCTAAAGCATTATCGAGTGAAAGCAAGGAAATTGGAGCATTTGTTATTGATGGCTATAGTTTTTCTTCAAAAAAAGAGGTAAAGTGTGCAAGTAGAGTTATTGATTTCAGTAGTATGTTATGAACAAACATCAAATTACAGTTTAAGTCTTTATCATGCCAACATGCTTCTGATGAGGTAAATAATGATAGTAATATAATTCTCTGTTTTCTGTACAAGACAGCCTATTCTTTATGTGGATTTAAATGCCTTTACAGTAAAAAAATAAATCTGGTTTTATTCCCCTTAACTCGGAGTATTTACACTTCAGAAGGCTGCAATTGTATTTTCTAGGCAGATCCATTAATAGAATCAGTAGCCTTTCATGTTAGACTTTTGTCAGATAAAGAAAAAGAATGCAGGGGTTTTAGATATCCGTAAGTATCAACATATTTTATTTTAAAAGAGTTTGGCCTCTTGATTAGTGATGGGGGCATGCTCTATACAATTATATTTTTGTTTCAATCTTCTTCAGTATGATGTCATAAAGCCCTGAAACAGTTTTTCTAAACTATTACACATGAAACATTGAATGTTATATTTATGTCAAAAACTGAATGGGCTCTCACATGATGCGAAGATTGTAGGTATTTCATACTTGAAAGTTTTAAGTCAAAAAATACAATGGTAGAATATGTTAAATGTAATTTTTCTCCCAAATTTTTAATAACTAACAGTAACCTTAACATTTGAATGTCTTCCTGAGACATGTATCTGTCACCATTATAGTCTTTTGGTTATGACAAATGTATCAAGTCAGTAACAGGTGCTCAGGATAATTTGTTAATCTATGATGTCAAAAGTAGCAGACAACTTGGCCGTTCCAGGCTAAATAATGAATTATTCATTGTTTCATTTAAAAATCTATTAACACATGACACAATTATATGAAATACCAGTTACTTAGAAGTTTATTCCTGGCGACGTTTCGACAAGGATTTTCTTTGCGTTTTCAAGCAAAGAACCATTAATAGCGAAAGGTTGCCAGGAATAAACTTCTAAGTGATGAAATGGGGTTTAATGTCCTACTGTTCTACTCCAACTGGGCTAATGAAGATGGGAATATAGAGCAGGAGTCCAGGGGAGTTAGCCTAGCTGGAAAATTTACCAATTTTCTCCCACCTAAAACTGCATGTTGTTCAGCACTACCACAGGGATCGTAAATGACAACTTCCAGCCCAAAATGCCACATCCCTCAACTAGGCTAGATTAGCTGAAGTGCATACCATCTAAAACTGCTTGGAAGTTGTTCAGCGCCACCACAGGAATCATGAATGACCACTGCCAGGCAGGTTATGCAGTGCCCCTGACAGCATGACCAAAATGCCACAGCCCCCCAACTAGTCTAGATTAACTCAAGTCCGACTATGTTGTCACTTGCCAGGCTCTGTGTCCTGCACCACTGACAAGGGGGAACCATGCTAGAAAATCTTGATGAACTTTTTCGACACGAACATGGCACCTCCAGGTTTAAGAGCAAATGTCATACTCACTGAGCCACCGTGGCTTCCAAACTTCTAAGTAACTTGTTCCATATAATTGTGTCATGTGTTATTCTGTTCAGTGACTAAATGCCGCTTAAACAATTTAAAAATATATTCTCTTTTTTACATAGTTATGTTCATTTAATATCAACTATTAGCATATCACCTGGTCAGTTATTGCCATATTTGATGCGAAGGTATGTAGGTTAAAGTTCTTGTAATTTGTTTGTCATCATTGTATTATATTATTATATAGTTTTATGAATGAGTTGAATTATGACTATTAAGGCGAAGCACTGCTCTACAATATGTATATTAGATACTTTCAGAGAATGAATCTTTGTAGGTTTAAAACTAATTTCTGCATTTCACCCAAAACTGTTGCTTAGTCTTATTGTGCTATTTGAAAAATTCCTGAACATTTCATGTTGATAGCACTAATAGAAATGAGTATTTTCAAAATGCATATTGTAGAGGAATGCTGATGCTTCCCCTTAACAAGCCGTAATGGTCCCAAATAAAAGTTAACTATAGAGTGCTATATCACCAAGAGATTTAGTGGAATAATATCCCCAGTGATTTATACATATACATGAATGAGCTTTGAGTGGGGTGGGTGTAGTTCAGTATCGATAGGTAGTATTCTGGAGAGGTGATCACTGTTTCTATATTACTTTATATACACTAAAATATACCTTATACAAGTGTGCATACTAGATCAAAGGGTTAATCTAGAGGTCAATCCAGAGGGGGTGTCCCTCAGCCCCCCCCCCCCAAATAAAAGTTAAAAATAGAGTGTTGTATCACCAAGAGATTTAGTGGTCATTATGAATGGAATAATATCCCCAGTGATTTGTACATATACATGAATGAGCTTTGAGTGGGATGGGTGTAGCTCAGTATCGATAGGTAGTATTCTAGAGAGGTGATCACTGTTTCTATATTACTTTATATACACTAAAATATGCCTTATACAAGTGTGCATATTAGATCAAAGGGTTAATCTAGAGGTCTTACCAGGGGTGGATCCAGAGGGGGTGCCCCCCACTCAGCTACATAAAAAAAATTGCTAAACAACACTTTTATGAGAAAAGTGTCACGGTCATGTGCTTTATCATCAGATGGTGGGATGAGATGGGCATTCAAAGCACAAAATAATGATATAGACATATGTAATATCACTATGTGATCCTATTAAAGATACATTCCCGGGTACAAACTGGGTGATTTGATGATATATTTGGACTAAAAACATATTCAAACTAATGAATTTATCATAATTTTGCTTCAAATCCTTCTCAAAACACTGCAATTGTCGGGGAATACCCTGGCTATAAAAAATAGGTCATGTTTGTGTCATGTGACTTGCCTCTCTCAGTACTTAGCAAAGCAGGTGAAGTCGGAGGAGAATTCATTGCATACACAAGACGATGTTGTCTTTAATCGCTGACTATTTATTACAAATATCGAAGCCTAATTAAATTATCGGATTATCCACTGCCCGCGACTTTTTCTGTGATTTTTATCTCAGAAAGTGTTGTACGTCTAATTCTTCATAAAGTTTCTCAACATGTACATCAAGCACTCAATTTCCGCGTGCAATCTTCGACGTCACCCGTGCAGACACTCCTAATCGTCGGGCTGTCGATTAGGGAAACCCTTACATTTTTGTCCTGTATGCGCTCCATGAGTATTTTTCATGGAATCCAGTATTTTTCTAGTAAGATTGGATATTTCTACTTTCCATATATACCAAAATTGCCATACTTTTATTGGAAATAACCACCCGATAAATACTTTTCTGGGAACGTAGCTTTAATTCATAATAAAAATTGAGGTCAAAAAGCTCAGTGTGTATGTATGCCTACATAATATTATAGACAATGATGGCATCATGCATTGTCAACTGTCAAATTTCCTTAAGAACCTAGCAAACCCCCTCCTGCAAAAATTCCTCGATCCGCCCCTGCTTACCTCTGATTAGCTTGTCAGCAGTAGTAGTAGTAGTAGTAGCTGGTTGTTTAACCTGTGCCTCCACAGTAACTGACAATCATTTTATGCCGTTGCCCCTGTCCGTCCGGACATCCGTCCGTCCGTCCACAATTGTTTGTGGACTCTCTACAGGTCACAATTCTTATCCGATTTTGACGAAACTTGAAATATAGGTTTATCCCCAAAAGATCTCGGCTGCTTTCGATATTGGCATGTATCGGATCGAAACTTCATGGATTATGGCCCCTGATTGTACGAAAAATCATATTTTTAGCTTGTGGAGGTCACAATTTTTATCCGATTTTTTTGAATCTTGAAATGTAAGTTTATAACCCAAAGATCTTGGTTCCTTTCGATATTCGCACATATCGGACCGTAACTTCATGAATTATGGCCCCTGATTGTACGAAAAATTGCGTTTTAAGTTTGTGGACCCTATGGAGGTCATAATTTTTATCCGATTTAAAAAAACGTATTATTATATCACCGTTACACCCTAAGGAAGGTTGAGTTCGAATTTCGTGAAAATCGGCCCAAAATTGACAGACAAAATGGCCGCCGTTCGTTCTCAAATAGCGTAAAAATATGGTATATCAAGGTTGTGGACCCTATAGAGGTCACAATTTTTATCCGATTTTGTTGAAAATTGAAATGTAAGTTTATAACCCAAAGATCTCAGTTCCTTTCGATATTCGCGCATATCGGACTGTAACTTCCTGAATTATGGCCCCTGATTGTACGAAAAATCATGATTTTAGCTTGTGGACCCTATAGAGGTCATAGTTTTTATCCGATTTAAAAAAACATACTATTATATCACCGTTACACCCTAAGGAAGGTTGAGTTCGAATTTCGTGAAAATCGGCCCAAAATTGACAGACAAAATGGCCGCCGTTCGTTCTCAAATAGCGTAAAAATATGGTATATCAATTTTGTGGACCCTATAGAGGTCACAATTTTTATCCGATTTTTTTGAAACTTGAAATATAAGTTTATAACCCAAAGATCTCAGTTCCTTTCGATCTTCGCGCATATCGGACCATAACTTCCTGAATTATGGCCCCTGATTGTACGAAAAATCGCGTTTTTAGCTTGTGGACCCTATAGAGGTCATTATTTTTATCCGATTTAAAAAGCCGTATTTTTATATCACCGTTACACCCTAAGGAAGGTTGAGTTCGAATTTCGTGAAAATCGGCCCAAAATTGACAGACAAAATGGCCGCCGTTCCTTCTCAAATAGCGTAAAAATATGGTATATCAAGGTTGTGGACCCTATAGAGGTCACAATTTTTATCCGATTTTGTTGAAACTTGAAATGTAAGTTTATAACACAAAGATCTCAGTTATTCACGCATATTGAATTGTAATTTCCTGAATTATGGCCCTTGATAGCTTGTTCTCTATCCATCTCTCGAAAATGTGGGCGTATCCTGCCTGGCAGCCGCTGGTTCTGTTTTAATGATTCCTTATTTCCTTGTTTGATCTTTGTAAAGAACATATTGACATACAGATGAGGTAATCTGTAATCATTTCGACAAATCAGATGCACAACAAAATGCTGTGGCATGTGTAATTGCTATGGCAATTATAAGATTTGCCTGTTTTGCTAGAATAAAATGTTATCATTTCTTTTAACGTATTGCAATAATTGCATTGGGGATAGTTACAGGTGGATTCTAAATAATTGTAACTTTTCCCACTTACTTGGGGTAAGGGTGTGGTGTCTTTTAATAGTTGCTGAAGTTAAAAGATCTTTTAGAGACAGGTTGCATCTATAAGCTGTAAGGCAGGGTTGCAGAAAACAGTCCGGCAATCGTTCGAACTATGGAGGATGTGCCAGTTATTCCTGATGATCTTGCTGATGTGGACCGTAGTTGGATTATAGTCCGTTATGAAAACTGTACGTATGTTATCCTTCGGTCTGGTTGTGTTTAGGAGGGTTTTCCTCTGAATGTTGCAATACGTTAAAAGGAAAGGAAACATTTTATTCTAGCAAAACAGGCAAATCTTATAATTGCCATAGCAATTACACTTGCCACGGCAAAAACATTATCTGCTTATTTACTTGCAACCTATGCTAAAAACAATAAGTTAGTCAAACAAAAGGACTGTTTCGAATTAGATTGAAGGAACATTATGCTGATATTACCCACTTCCACCTCTAGTGGAAACTTTGACTACCAAATAATTAAACAATTGGGTACCAATCCTGACCTCCCAAAATCTACCACCAATAGATGCACCATAGAACTTCATTGTATCATTAGATTGAAAACCTTTCAACCATATGTTATCAATGACAAAATCTGAACTTGTTTACAACCCTTCCACTGGGTGTTCCAACTTTGGATTTTTTAGCCTCCTAACCCTCAGAGTGGTTGCACTAACCCCCTATCTGTAATATACTCCTGTACGGATATGTTACTCGAACATTACGTCACAATGACCTACTTGACGTCATAGCAACCGCTTCCAAAACAAGATGGAAAACTGCCATGAGTGTGGAAAAATACTTTCTAAACGATGCCACCTTCTGCAAAATTCCAGGGAAAGGCATCATCCTACATTCTTCGGGTATGGAGAAAGTGGAAAGCAGTTCAGAAGAAAAGAGTACCTCCAAAATGACCGCTGCAAAGGCACCAAATCCGCTGAGGAAGTGGAGAACTCAACCATGGTCACTGACACCCCATAGACGATACCATTGGAGACCTTGATCAATACACTCCAACTGCTCGACTGCCACAGTCCCAGCCACGGGGGCATCATCCTTTCGAGATAACACTCCCAATAGAGCCTCAACAAGTTACAGCCAGAGCTATGCTGACATCCAGGGCGCTCTGTTTCCTTCCCTTTACAGTTGGGATTATGAAACTTCCCCGAACCTCATTGTAGGGGAAACTTGGAACACCATAAGCACAAGCAGGAGTGACATATGGAAAGACAGACACGCACTCGGATCACCTCTTCCGTGTCCCGATGGAAACCACCTTAATAGATGCGATCCAAGAAGACCCCTCCCTCAGATCCCAGCTATCCGATACAGATTTGTTTCATTCATCCATCATTTTAGGTTTAGTTTATGATAAATAGATCTTCATACACCTCTTTTTTATCACTATGTCTTTTCTCTTTTTATTCCTTCCTCACTGGTCTCACTTAGACCCTCCCCTTTTCCTAACTCTGCCATAGACACCCCGGTAAACCCCGCCAAAACTCAAACCTCATTGAAATCTCACCGGTATTTCAATACAGTATATATAGAACCCCACCAAGTGAGATAAATCAGTCTGAAGAGTTCGATTAGAACGAAACTATAGTCACTGCTAAAAGGGATAACTGGCCAAATCACTCATTTTTATCTACCTCAAAATATAGACATATATGTAGGCTATTAAAATACTGACATTTACATAATCTCAATGTCAGCCATATTGTCTTTAGTAAAAATAAATTATTGTTTCTGAACAGAAAAAATCATAACGTGATTAAAATCTTTAGCACTGTTTATTGTAATAAAGACCAAAATTTAAAATAATTAAAAGAAATCCTGGTCCAAAAATTATTTAGATCGATATATACGAACTTAAGTTACAGCCATGTTTGCATTTGTTCTATTGATTTCATACTACCATCTTGTGCTAGACAAATATTATAAAAATACTTTTACTGTCTATTTCATACAAACAAGACCACTCTCCTTGAAGTGTTTTTTAAATAATAGTTGGATGTGCTTAATTACATATTACCAGAACAACCATCTTTACATTAAATTATAAACCTGTAACAGTAAATCTCTTTGATCTTTGGGGTATATTCTATGCCTGGAATAACTTGCGGTCTGGAAGTCAGGGGTGGCTTTGGATATATACAGGAAAATTTGGGGTTATTCTTCTGAAAGTTTTTCTTTAAACCTGTACTGGGTTATTCTTCCAGGGTAGGGTTTTTTTCCATAAGAAAACATGATATATGGTTTTTCTTACTGGAATTCTGGGATATTTTCAACTTGCGTACATGTAAACATAGACGGTTTATAAGCAAGATAAAGTCCTCGACTTCGGTTATGCTGGGGAAGAAAAACGTCAGAAAAAACCCTCGAAGGAAAAACCTGGGCCTGCCGGCCTCGGTTTTTCTTTTTCTCAGGTTATTTTCTTCAGTCTTTCTTCCCCAGCATACCCCAGTCTCATGCTTTATCCTACACATAATATACATTAATATTGCTTATATTAAAATACATCTGAACAATCTGGCTTTTTATGTTTTAATTATGTATTCCAACTTTTCAGATTTCAACAGCAAGGTGGCACATCTTATTTTAGGACTGTTGCAAGTTTGGAAGAGGTATGATTTTTTTTTTTAAAAAGTCTGAGTTAACATCTCTTAAACCTGGATGGGAGTTTCAAAATTCATGTGGCCTGTAGGCCTCCAGTCTCCATATGTGTTTGATGTTTGTGAATCAGATATGCCACCAGGCAGTAAAACATGATTCTGCAAAGATGTCATGTAATATAGCAATTTCAAGCCAAGCCCATAATCAACTTTCTCCAACTTCGGACGGTTTTGTTTTTCAACAGATTTAAAACGATTGGCAGTTTATGTTTTATTTTAAAAAGGGATAATCAAGACTTTGTTTATTATCGTACCAACGGTAGTAATGGCAATCAAGACTATACTGTTCTTCAAAACGGTGATAATTTGACTGAATTTCAGCACATTCTTTTTATATGCCCACATAGAAATGTGGATGTATATTGCCGTCGCCCCCGTCCGTCCGTCCATCGTACACAATTTCTTCTGAACGCTCTAACGCCAAAATTATCATCTAGTTGTTTTAAAATTGATATATTATGTTGTTTGCATTAGTGAGATGAAAAAGCCTATTTAATTTCAATATTTTCTGTTTATTACGTCTAGAGTTATGGCCCTTGTTGAACCTTGTGAACGCTCTAATGCCAAAAGTTAACATCTGATTTTTGTGAAATTTATATGCAATATTAAAATTAGGGAAACGAAAAAGCCTATTGAATTCCAGCAATTTCCGTTTATTACTTCTAGAGTTATGGCCCTTGTTTCACTTTGTTTAACATTGTGAACGCTCTAACGCCAAAAGTTATCCTCCTATCTTTCTGAAATTTATGTGCATTATTTAAATTCGTGAAACGAAGAAGCCTATTGAATTTGAGCGATTTCACTTTATTACGTCTAGAGTTATGACCTTGTTTCACTTCCTTGAACCTTGCGAACGCTCTAACACCAAAAATTATCACCCAATCTTTGTGAAATTTATATGCATGATTTAAATTAGTGAAACAAAGAAGGCTATTCAATTTCAATAATTTCTGTTCATTACGTCTAGAGTTATGGCCCTTGTTTCACTTTATTGAACCTTGTGAACGCTCTAACACCAAAAGTTAATATCCGATCTTTCTGAAATTTATATGCATTATTTAAATTAGTGAAACAAAAAAGCTTATTGAATTTCAGCAATTTCCGTTTATTACGTCTAGAGTTATGGTCCTTGCTTCACTTTTTTGAACCTTGTGAACGCTCTAACGCCAAAAGTTATCACCCAATCTTTGTGAAATTTATATGCATGATTTAGATTAGTAAAGCAAAGAAGGCTATTTAATTTCAATAATTTCTGTTCATTACGTCTAGAGTTATGGCCCTTGTTTCACTTTATTGAACCTTACGAACGCTCTAACACTAAAAGTTATCATCCGATCTTTCTGAAATTTATGTCCATTATTTAAATTAGTGAAACGAAAAATCAATTTCTGATTATTACGTCTAGAGTAATGGCCCTTGTTTCACTTTATTGAACCTTGTGGGCGCTCTAACATCAAGAGTTATCTGCCGATCTGTATGAAATTTAAATTAGTAAAGAGAAGAATCCTATTGAATTTCAGCAATTTCTGTTTATTACTTCTAGAGTCACTTTGTTCAACCTTGTTAATGCTCGATTGATGAAAGTTATTATCCGATATGTATGAAATTTATATGCATCATTTAAATTTGTGAAACAGATGTCTATTGAATTTCTGCAATTTCCGTCAATAATTTCTAGAGTTATGGCAGTTGAGAACCTTGTGAATGTTTGAATGACAAAAGTGATCATCTGATCAGTATGAAATTTATATGCATTATTTAAATTAGTAAAACGAAAAATCCTGTCAAATTTCAACAATTTCTGTAGAATACTTTCAGAGTTGAGACCCTTGTTTCAGTTTGTTGAACCTTGTGAACCCTCAAACGGCAAAAATTATAATCTGATCTGTATGGAACTGTCTTGTAAAGGCCCAATTACCTACAAAGGAAGAAATATGCGACAACCCTTGTCGACCGCTCGGACGATTTAGCTGCTGTGGGCGTATGTTTCATTGCCTGGTAACCAATCTTTTCATTATCTATTAGACTGAAATTTTCAACATATTCTCTTTTCATTATCTATTTTTTTATAAGCCCACATTTTCATGTGGTTAAAAGCAAAGTCATGGGGTTCACAAAACCATCTATTATATGTAAAACCTTACTTACTCAGAGAACACAATAGTCAGGTCAATATATGGAAAATACCCCCTCAACCCCCCCAAAATTGCTGCAAAAGGTTTCTCAACTGATTCTAGTAGAGTTTAGTGTACTTAATAACTACTAAAAGTTTACCAAAGTAGGACCCCCGGAAAAGTGTTTTTTCAAGATGACGTCAAAGATGGCCACCGAAACGTCTTAAAATGATCATAACTAAGTAACTATCAACTCAAATTTGATGATCTTGGTGTCTTTCCCTAGGTTTTTGGAGGCAAAGAACACATTAAGATCATTAAAAATGATGTTGGCCTATTATGTCAAAAATGACCGCTAACACCTCCAAATGACCGCAGGTCCATAACTATTGACTCAAATTTGATGATCTTGATGTCTATCCCCAGGTTTGGGGGGACAAGGAACACATTAAGAGAACTTTGGATATCACTGAGCTGTTAAATCATTATGAAATTGTATTCATGACCTTCAACTGTCCACTATCATAGAATAAGTTTCAGCGCGTTCAGTTTTGAGTGCCATCCTCCTCCTCAGTATCGACCTCTTGAATATTGTTTGAATTGTCACAGATTTGCTGATCTTGCTCCTTCCGTTCAAACAAGCAGTCAAAAGAACACAAAGTGTATAACATTAACCTGTTGAAAGAAACTTTAGAAGACGATGTGTGCAACAAGTTTCTCTTTGTACATGTCTACTCAGGCCGTGATTCAACTTCAAGGATTTTAGACATCGGAAAAAAGTCCACCTTCCGGAAATTAGTGAAATCTGATCCTGTCCTGTGCTAGTGCATTTACCCTTCAAAACAAATCTCAAGAGGACATATCAGATCTTGGCAAAGACCTGATGGTTGATCTCTTTGTTGGCAAATCGAATGATACGCTATCATCACTGTGCCATATCATTTTCACCAAGAAAGTGGCAACTGATGAAGCATTTGTCATTCCTTAATGGCTTCCCCTAACATCACCTGCAACAAGATTTCATAGCCAACGTGTGTACTTTCAAATTATGGTATGGACGGGGATGGCAAATGAAATGAACCCAACTGAATAGGGATGAAAGCAAATAAATTTCAATTATTACCCAAAACAATTCTGCGCCTGGCGAACTCTTGAAAATTATCCATTGCAACTGTTCGAGTGGTGTAACACTACAGATAACAGAAGATCAGCATAATTGATAAGACCTTTATTAAGAACATGAAATAGACATAATTCGGGAGGAGCTCTATTCCAAGTCTGACTTACTGTCAGTAAACGCCTGCGTATATAGCGTCCAACAATATGGGAAGATGAACAAGAGTGATCATCATATATGGTATTGTTTATCAAATTATGGTGTCTGTAATTACACTGCATATTTCCTTGGATGTCATTGTCAGGTCATAGTATGATACACTGAACACTACTACATTCTCTTTGAAGTTCTGCCAAGTGTTATATACAATATTTATAACCCAAAGATTTTGGTTCCCTTGATATTGTTACATGTCAGACTGTAAAATCCTGGATTATGGCCTCTGATTGAATGAAAAATCACTTTTTTAGTTTGTTCTCTGTCCATCTCTTGCATAATGTGGGTGTATCTTGCATGGCAGTCGCTTGTAATATATATTTATATGTACCTGTAAACTTTATTTCAGTTTGTAGGTAAATTTGATATAGTTGTAAACTGTACTGCTCTTGCTTGTCGTCAGTTGATTGGTGATGAATCAATTTTTCCCGTTCGTGGACAGCTGAGGAGGGTATTTCTCTTTTTTATACTTACCAGATTATGATAAAACTAATTGTATTTTTATATACGCCCACATTTTCATGTCATTTCGGGACTAACATATGGTTTAATTTTATTACAATAATTCGCTGGGTATTAAGGAGTGGGAGTACCCGGAGAAAACCCACGAGGTTGGACAGGCGACCCTAATCCTTGTCACATACAATCGGGGATTCGAAACCACGGCAGTTGACTCAATGACAGGCCTTATGATACAGCGTGCACGTGCTAACCATTCGGCCATCCAACCCCACCAAAAGTATCAAGCAATCGAACTAATTATCAACTATACACTAAGTTTCATCACTCACTATCAGATAGAATCAAAGTTATCTTGTCCCAAAGCATCGACCAATGAAATTGCTTAACTCTGCTTAGCTTTAGCTTGAAATTTTAATCACTGAACTCGGTTAAGACCATCCTCGGTTACCCAGTGTACTCATTCCGTTCTTCTCCACTATACCCTGGGTTAATCCATAGGGTTTCCACGATTTCAAATTATCTGCCCTGGCCTAGAATGTAGCTACACTCTACGAACCAATCAGAAAACAGTTTACAAACCAATCATTTCGCCTTCGTTTTTATAAGGGTAGATAACCATATTCATGTCCATTTACAGAATGATTTATGTATATAATGTATATATTTATAATTTATTTATATTTAATTGTATTATCAAAATCTGTAGTATGTGTTGTTAATTTCAAATATGTATAACATCTATATGGTTGACTTTTGTTATTATTATTACTGTTCGTTTTTTGTCTGAAATATGTCATTTTGTTATGTTTATTATTATTGAACTTGTACTTAATTGGCAATTTGATTCACAATTGTCTGCGATATCACCTCGGTGGAAGCGGACGTAAAATACAACTAACCCATCATCATTTGATTCACAATAACTTGTCTACGATATCATGTGGACATAAAATTCCGGGAACGAACGAACGATCCTAAATAAAACTAATGACCCTACATTATTATATTATTGGTTGTTAATAATTACGCATGTAGAATAGGCCCAACTCCTAACATTGTCCGATGAAAGTTACTTACCTTTGCCAACTTCCTTTTCAAATAACAATTTATGGGATTGGTTGATAAAAATAGCACAATCATCAAGGTCGGATAACTTGAAAACGTGTCTCCCCCATAGATTAACCCAGGGTATAGTGGAGTAGAGCGGAATGAGTACACTGGGTAACCGAGGATGGGTTAAGACATTCACCAAATGAACATCTTCGTCAAGTTAAAACATTCTACCTCAATTAAAAGCAGAGTTGTTTTGTTCCAAAGTTTTGACCAATCAAATTGCTTATCGCTCCTTAGCATAAGCAGAAAATTCTCATCATCGAACTTAGTCAAGGTAATGATATGATGAATCTATAGTCTATACTCAAGAGTTTCATCACTCTCACTTAAATATAACCAATGTTATCGTGCCCCAAAGCATCAACAAATCAGATTGCTTGTCTCTGCTTACCGTAAGCAGACGATGTTTATCACCAATCAAATTGCTTTTGTGTTCCAAAGTCTCGACCAATCAAATTGCTTATCGCTCTGCTTACCCTGAGCAGAAAATGCTCATTATCGAACTAAGTTAAGGTATTGATGTAATAAAACTATACACCAAATGTCATCACTCTCACTTAATTAGAACTAACCAATCAAATTGTTTATCTCTGCTTACCCTAAACAGAAAATGCTCATCTTCAAACTCCATCAAGGCATTGACCCAATATACACCTACACCTAGTTTGAACATTCTAGCTCAATTAGAAGGAGAGTTACTGTGTCACAAAATGTGTGACGGACGGACGGAAAGACAGACAGACGGACGGACGAACCCATTCTTCAAAACGCAGGGGACAAAAAACTAACAAAATTATATGTTATCAAATTGTAACAACTGTTAATATCTTTTAAGCTAAAAATCTTCTGCTATTAATTCCCTCCTTGAACATTTTGCATTTGAAAACATTTGTTAGAAATGTAAAGGTTTCTTAATATTGACGTGCAGGTCTACCAATAAGATATTACGGTCACTAATATATAACATGCATTTACACTTGATCTTCACTGTAAAGCTTTTGTTGGGATCGCTATAAATATTAAATTAGAGGGAAAACCTTCACTATAATGTGGGAGCCATGGTGGTTCAGTGAGTATGGCACAGTCTCACTAACCTGGGTTCATTCCTGGTGTTGGCTGAGAAAGTTCCTCTCAATTTTCCAGCCACTTTTCACCTTGCCAGTGATGTAAGGCCTGGCAAGGAAGAGAATCTAGTTGAGGTCCTGAATAATACCATTGGCAGCATGTTAAAGATTCCCTGGCAGTTTAAAATCGAAATACTATAAGGCTGCGGTTTCTGGTGAAATTTCCCTCATAGCATGTAACTGAATGGTACATACCTGTCTCCATTAGATCAGCTGGTGAAGAAAAAAAAAGATGTTAAACCATCGTATTTCATTTTACTATGACATTGTTGGGGCCCTTTCATATTTCCTTTATTATAGATTCCTATAAATATTAGACTGAAACATGTTGACCAAACTGTCTTATATAGTGTATATCTATCAGATTTTCAAAACACCTTCCGTTCCTTCCATTAAGAAAAAGCCATAAAAATTTAGAAGTACTTTGTGAGGCTAAATAAAAGTTTGTAGAGTTTGGGTCTCAAATATTGTGATCTGCTTGACGGGATATTTTCTTTGCTAGGTGAGAGCGCCATGGATAAAACATTGGTATTTAACAGAAGATGACACATATCTTATACCACAGTGAGTTATCGGTCTTAAGGCTGGAATCTTGTTACAAACTAATAATAAAATCCAATTTAATTTAAAAACAACTTTCTAAACTGGTTATTCATAAGACAAATATGGTAGTAAATAAGACCATGTCAAAGGTCAGCATCACTTAGTTTTTTCTCACCAGTTTACATTGCCTATGAATAATGATCATTGAATATTTGTCACATATTTGTGTGGCACTACCTTCTTTGTGGTTAATTAGAGCTTTATATTAATCAGCTTTTATTAATTATTTCCACCATATTTTTCTTTCCTGTATAATGTCATCCTTCGATTCTTCAATAGGAAGTGAATGATTCACTAGAGGTGAAGTATGAACTGTATCAGAAAACCAATTTAACTGTATATAGCTGTGTTATTTCACTGTTTATCCATTGACTTTAAAATCTATGAATGCAGCAAAGAACAGAATGCAGTATTTCAATAATGAAAAATTAATCTTGTAGCTACTACCGGTTGTGTGGTACATTTTCTCATAGTAGAAATGGACTAATTTTTGCAGGGCTAATGGAGAGGTTACATTGGGTGGATGTCGTCAAAAAGGAAATTATCATCTTGAGGTAGATAAACAGTTTTCAGAAGATATAAGTAAAAGATGTGAACAACTTGTTCCCGGTGTAACGGTAATAGTTTTATGATTTTTTTTTTGTAATTTTTCTAAAATCATCCTGTCCTTCAGTCCCCAACTGTATCACTGAGATCCGATCTTGCCTGCACTGTACAAGGATTCTTCCACCCATCAGTAAGAAGTTAATTCGTCACTGTCTTGGATTTTATCTAAATACAGTAAACCTTGCATAAGTCGGATTTGTATAAGTCGGATCTTCGCTCAACTTGGATAAAATCGTTTGGACCCTTTGATCCAGCACTTTTTTCTTATTGAATTTCTGCGCGTAAGTCGGATTTCCTAAGTCAGATCTTCACTCAACTCGGATCAAAATGTTCGGTCCATTTGATCTAATTCCGGCTTTTTTCCTTAGCCTAAGTCAGATCGGCAGTATGTTCACCACAGCATGCTGTTGAAAATACGTCCCCCTCTGCCAAACGCCCTGGCAGGCGCCATTGAAATCCACCAAAGCCGAAGGAGACGCATTTTTAACAGCATGTTGTGTTTCACATATTGACTCTAGCGAGGTAAGTAATGTCTTATTTTCTCACTAAAATGTTCTTTTACATTGTTCAGGCATTCACAGAGACTGACACACGACCTTTTAGCAGTAATAAGGTGCCCAGTAAAATTGACTGGAAACTGATTTTATTTCGACAAGGGTGATAATGAGACCTACGTTCAGAGCCGAACTCTAGGTCTTCGGCTAACTCGGATCTTCGCTTAAATTGGTCAGTCCACTAAGATCCGACTTATGCGACGTTTACTGTATGATGATTATGAACAAGTTTCATAGAATTACTTATTTACATTCAGTCTTTTAGTTTATAGCAAGATAATATCTAAAATTTGTTTCACAGAAATTAAACTCTTTAACAGCAGAATCCTTTAACTTTTCACTGGCTGGACATAACACTACAATGTTGTTTTTTTGTTTATGTCAATCTTGTAGAGCTAGTCCTAGTTGGTGTACTGATACAAAGGTTGTTAACAGAATACTGGACACTAATATTGTGAGCATAAGGCCATGGTCGGAAAACTGGCTGCTCCTGTTCCATGGTTTGTTATGATTATAAACTTTTCTCTGAAGATCAGTCTTTTCGAAACGTGACATTACCAGGAAATAAATATATATATGCCCACTAGTAGCATTAAGAATTTGAATAGAATAAATAAAACAAAAAGTTAACCTATTAGTTAAAGATACCCTATACTTTTTATTAGTCCCCTACCAGTAATATCAGGGAGGTTATAAGTTACATCCTGTCCATCTTTTTGTCATTTGATTTCTGGAATTTTCTTTTATTAATTTTCTTTTAATAACGTGTTTCGAACCTTTGGAGTTCTCGTTTCTTATACGCCCACATTTTCATGTGGACGTATATTGTCGTTGCCCCTGTCAATTGTTTGTGGACACTCTACAGTCCCGATTTCAATAAAACTTGAAATATATATTTATCTCCTTAAGATCTCGGTTCCTTTCGATATTGGCATGTATCGAACCGTAACTTCATTGATTATGGCCCCCAATTGTACGAAAAGTCACGTTTTTAGCTTGTGGACCCTATAGAGGTCACAATTTTTATCTGATTTTGTTGAAACTTGAAATATAAGTTTATAACCAAAAGATCTCGGTTCCTTTCGATATTCGCGCATATCAGACTAACTTCCTGAATTATGGCCCCTGATTGTACGAAAAATCACGTTTTTAGCTTGTGAACCCTATAGAGGTCATAATTTTTATCCGATTTAAAAAAACGTTTGAATATATCACCATTATACCCTAATTTCCTGAATTATGGCACCTGATTGTACGAAAAATCGCGTTTTTAGCTTGCGGACCCTATAGAGGTCATAATTTTTATCCGATTTAGAAAAACGTTTGTATATATCACCATTACACCCTAAGGATGGTTGAGTTTGAATTTCTTAAAAATCGGACCAAAACTGACAGACAAAATGGCCGCCCCTCGTACTCAAATAGCGTAAAAATGTGGTATATCAATGTTGTGGACCTTCTAAAGGTCACTATTTTCTTCTGATTTTGATGAAACTTGAAATGTAAGTTTATAACCCAAAGATCTTGGTTCCTGTCAATATTCGCGCATATCGGATCGAAACTTGCTAAATTCACGTCCCTCTAGAGGTCACAATTTTTATCCAATTTATAAAAACGTTCAAATATATCACTGTTACACCGTAATTTTGGCGTGAAAATCGAACTAAAACTGTCGGACAAAATGGCCGCACCTCGTACGCAAATAGTGTATAACATCTGGTATATCAAGCTTCTGGACCCTCTAGAGGTCACAATTTTGAACCAATTTTAATGAAACTTGAAATACATGTTTATATCCCAAAGATATTGGTTCCTTTCGATATTAGCGCGTATCGGATCATAACTTAATGAATTATGGCCCCTGATTGTACGAAAAATCACGTTACACGTAATTTTGATTGAGTTCGGATTTAAAAAAACGTTTAAATATATCACCATTCCACCATAATGAATGTTGAATTCGAATTTCAGGAAAATTGAAATGAAACTGCCCAACAAAATGTCTGCTCTTTGTACGCAAATTGTGTAAAAAATATGCAATACGAAGGTTGTGGACTTCTAGAGGTCACAATTTTTATCCGATTTTGATGAAACTTAAAACATATCTTTATATCCCAAAGATCTCAGTCCCTTTTGATATTTGCGCATTTCAGATCATAACTTTCTGGATTATTGTCCCTGATTGTAAAAAAAATCCCATTTGTTTTTAGCTTGTTCTCTATCCATCTCTTGCAAAATGTGGGCGTATCCTGCCTGGCAGCCGCTGGCGTTATTGAATTATGGTTTAAAATAATCGAAAATTTATTTTCTGGAATTATTTTAAGTTAAATTTTGAGCTATTTGATAGAACCTTTTGATTGAATTATGGTATAAAATCAATGAAAATTCTATTTTCTTGGAATTGTTTTAGGTTGAATTTTGAGATATTTGATAGAAATTGGGCACCTTACATATTTCCTGGAATTCTGTTAATTTTTGACTGCATGATGTTTGTATCAGCTTTATATATATGCATGCATTGTAAAATTTGTTGGGGCTTGTAGGTACATGTATTAATTCGGCACTTCGACTGTAACCGGTACACTAAGAATGATTGTTTTATCTATATTTATTCAAAAAGGAGATAAATATACCCAATAAATAAACATATATTTTAGCATAATGGATATAGTCTCAATGAAATGTTTATTTGTTCAACTTTGCAATGACAGTCAAAAGAATTTCTGAAAAGAAACCCATCTGACATGGTAAACAATTAATAACCATCAATGTTAAATCAATCTAACTTCGACCTGTATATATTTTTTTGTTAATCAGCTAAAAATGTATAAATGATTGTCTTTCATAGAGTGCTGAAGTAATATTTGATTGGGTAGGACTTCGACCAACAAGAGAACCAATACGTGTAGAGAAAGAACTCATGGATTTCAATGGCAATAAACTTAGGGTATATATTTTATTGAACTTATTTTTATACGCCCGCATTTTCATGTGGACGTATATTGTCATCGCCCCTGTCCGTCTGGACGTCCATCCACAATTTGTTTGTGGACACTCTACAGGTCACAATTCTTATCCGATTTTGACGACACTTGACCTGCATGATTATAACCCAAAGATATTGGTTCCTTTCAATATTTGCACATATTGGATCGTAACTTCCTGAATTATGGCCCCTGATTGTACGAAAAATCGCGATTTTAGCTTGTGGTCACTAGAGGTCACAATTATTATCCGATTTAAAAAAACTGTTTGACTATATCACTGTTAAACTGTAATGACACTTTCGCTTTTATCCAATTTTGATGAAACTTAAAACATATCTTTATATTCCAAAAATCTCAGTCCCGTTTGATATTTGCACATTTCAGATCATAACTTTCTGGATTATGGCCCCTGATTGTGCAAACAATCGTTTTTTGTTTTTAGCTTGTTCTCTATAAATCTCTTGCAAAATGTGGGCGTAACCCGCCTGGCAGCCGCAGGTTTTACATGTACGCCAATGTGTACATAGGATTATACATTGAAATCAACTAATATTCAAAAATAAACAAACAGATAAAAGAAAATACATTGATTTGATAGATTTACAGTATAGGAATTTAAAAATGCATCAAAAATGGTCAAAACAGTTGAAGATGTTTCTTCTTATTTGTTAAAATAAACATATTTACAAGTAGAATTTAGATAGAATTGTTTCAATTTCTAAAATTGCATACTTATTTTCCAGGTTGTACATAATTATGGTCATGGAGCTAATGGTATTTCTCTTTCTTGGGGAACTGCAGTAGATGCAGCTGAATTAGTAAAAGATTGGACCAGACAAATGTCATTTACCTCCCGGCTGTAAGAAGTGAATAAGCATGCTGTTTTATATTAATTTCACACAAAATATATATTATGCTTAGTCTGCTTACTGGTGATAGAAGTATATATTTATGACTTGAGGCTTATTCATTTGATTACTTTACAACCGAACCGTGAAACATTGTCTTATGTGTTCTTTTCATCTTAGATTTGGTATATATTAAATTCTTTCAATGGTTGCTAAGATATGCTCAACGTAGGATGGTGGATACTAGTCACATCAGTATGACCACCATACTTTTTGTTTTTACTATTTTTTATACGCCCACATGGAAATGTGGTTGTATATTGTCGTCGCCCCCGTCCGTCGTCCACAATTTCTTGTGAACACTCCACAGACTACATTTATCATCGGATTGTTTTGAAATTGATATATTTTGTTTGCATTAGTGAGATTAAAGAAGCCTATTTAATTTCAATAACTTCCGTTAATTTCTTCTGGAGTTATGGCTCTTGTTTCACCTTGTGAACGACAAAAGTTATCATCTGATCTGTATAAAATTTATATGCATCGTTTGAATTAGCAAAACAAAAAAGCCTATTGAATTTAAGCAATTTCCGTTAATTTTTAGAGTTATGGCCCTTGTTTCACTTTGTTGCAACTTGTGAACACTCTAATGACAACAGTTATCATCCGATCTGTATGAAATTTATATGCATCATTTAAATTAGTGAAATGAAGAAGCCTATTGAATTTCAGCAATTTCCGACAGTTACTTCTAGAGTTATGGCCCTTGTTTTACTTCGTTGAACGTTCGAACGACAAAAGTTATCATCCGATCTGTATGAAATTTATATGCATTATTTGAATTAGTAAAACGAAAAAGCCTGTCGAATTTCAACAATTTCTGTAGATTACTTCCTGAGTTAAGGCCCTTGTTTTAGTTTTTAGAACCTTGTGAACCCTCAATTACCTTCAAAAGAATAAATATGCGACAACCCTTATCGACCGCTCTGACAATTTAGCTGCTGTGGGCGTATGTTTTGTTGCCTGGCAACCTTTCTTAATTTTTATAATTTGTTATATTTAGGATAGTCTATTCCGCTGTTAATTTCCCACCTAACATTTTATTCCTGGTTAAATCTCAAATGCCTTTTTCAGTTATTACTGTATGCAGCTCACATTCAACCATGTTCAGTGCACATTTACTATGCAAATATTTATAATCCATTTGTGTCTTACCTAGACCATGTGATAAGTTTTTATATGCCCACATTGAAATGTTTTTGCATATTGCCGCTCTCCCTCGTCCATCATCCTCAAATTCTTGTGAACAGTCTACTGACTACATTTATTTTGATTTAAATTTGTAAAACAAAGAAACCTATTAAATTTTAACAATTTCCATTAATTACTTCTAGACTTGATTTGGGTAACTTATCATTGAGCGCTTGATGTACAAGTTGATAAACTTTATAAAGAGTTAGACATAAAACACTTTCTGAGATAAAAATGACGATAAAAGACGTGGGTAGTGGATAATCTGAGAATTTAATTAGGATTCGATATTTGTAATAAATAGTAAGCGATTAAAGACAACATCGTCTTATGTATGCAATGAATTCTCCTCTGATGTCCGAGAGAGGTAAGTCACGTGACATAAACATGACCTGGTTTGATTGAATTTTTATAGCAGGGCATTCCTTGGCAATTACAATGTTTGAGAAGGATTTGAAGCAAAATTATGACAAATTAGTTTGAATATGTTTTTAGTCCATATATACCATTAAATCACCCAGTTTGTACGCGGGAATGTATCTTTAAGCCTCTTAAAAATTAGCAAGAAAATTTACCAGTAAGTGTAATATTTTATTCTAACTTGTCCTTGGATATTCATATCAACAATATTTGTAAAATTGGTTATTATATCATCTCAGAAACATTAGAAAAATACACAAAAAAGTCTAACAATTGACACTACAAATACCTTGATTTGTTCACTAGTCACTTCTCATTTAAATTTGTTTAATTCTTTGTAATTCCATGTATTCATGGGAGAAAAGCGAGATTTCAAGACATAATATAGTTTAATTTTGTTCAAATTAGTTCTACACTACGATCAGTACAAAGTTTACAAATTTTTAGAGAAATCCACTAATTATGGATATGAAATTCACTGAGCATAATAATGCAGTTATTGTCACTGGCATAATACATACTCTGTGTCCTTCACATCATAATTGTCCTTGTTTTTCTCGGTGAATTCGTGTAGGGAAGTTACCTTTACTGTTCAGTTTAGTTTGTTTATAATTTTCACACAAAGGACTTTTCTAGAAATCGTACCAGAAGTTGTAATGATAAAGGGGAGATAAACTGTAGATAACTTGTGGATCAAGAGCACAGTGATAATCAATAAAGACTACAAGAGAGTCAACTCAAGCATCATGGAAAACTATTCATAAATTGCAAAAACTACAGCTCGACTTATAACTAGAACATCACATAAAGATCACATAACTCTAGTCTTGTATAAATTACATGGGCTACCAATAGTTTTTAGAATTGAATACAAGATCTTACTACCGGGTATCAACTTTTAATCTTGTACCTCCTTATCCTTCCAATCATAACCACAATTTATATTTTACCTTTATTTAACAGTATAAATTACATGGGCTACCAATAGTTTTTAGAATTGAATACAAGATCTTACTACCGGGTATCAACTTTTAATCTTGTACCTCCTTATCCTTCCAATCATAACCACAATTTATATTTTACCTTTATTTAACAGTTAAGATCTTTTTACTTGATGCATTTATATATGTTATTACCATTTGTTTATTGTAAAGCGCTTTTGAGCAATCTTTGTGGAAATAGGGCTATATAAAAATTCTTAATTAAAGATACATTATAATTATGGGAGATACTTTTACATAAACAGTAAGATCAATTATTTTTTTTATGAAAGGGGACGTTTACATTTGGTGCTCGTATTTGTATATTTGCAATTTCCAATGAAGAGGATGTTTATATTCTTTATTATGATCTATGCCAATTATAAATTCAATAATTTTACCTTTTCATTTGAATAAGCATGTAATACTTTAGCCAGTGTACCCAAATACAATATTGATAATATAATATATATTATTTCTTGATTAAGTGTTTGTTGAATTTTTATTGTTATATTATCTTATAGTTTATGTCTGTTCTCATTTTTAATCAGTTTCAATAATTTGTTGAAATGATAATATTTTAGCACTACAAACCTCAGAATGCCTCGTTCGGCATTTTTGTCCAAACGTGGCAAAAACATATTAGAATTTTTGCCATAATTTTGCCAAGTTGTAACGTGGTAAAAACAAAATGCGACGTTTGTCTGGAGTTCCAAAACATATTTTATTTTTAAATTGCCATGTTTTTGGAATGAGGTATTTTGTCCAGAATTAGCCCGTTTTTGCCACGTTTGGACAAAAATGCCGAACGAGGCATTCTGAGGTTTATTGTGTAGATCTTATCTGTTTAATATTAATATACAATAAAATAGTAATCTTTACTTTCTGTTGTTTAATTTTATTGTGCCCTCCTAAACATATTAACTTTGGCCTCTAGAGCGTCCACAAGATTTTTTGAAGTGATCAAGGGCCATAACTCTGGCAGTAATTATCGGAAATCGCTGAAAATCAATAGGCTTCTTCGTCTCATTTAAATTTAAAGTCAATCGGATATTAACTTTAGCCTCTAGAGCGTCCACAAGCAATTGTGGACGCCGGACGGACGGACGGACGGGGGCGACGACAATATACAACCACATTTCAATGTGGGCGTATAAAAAGGGCACTGTCGAGAATTAGGGGGGGGGGGGCGCGCCCCCCATTGAATCCGCCTCTGCCTGTGATTGGTTTACAATAAACAAACAGCACATGTATGAGTCAGACGTCCGTTGAAAACAATACCATGGACTATAAGATATATTTTGTAAGTCGCTGGTTTGCTATCCTGATGGGTTTGATCTGAATTTTGGCCTAGAAAGTTTGTAGTGATTTTCCAGTGAGGTTATCCTGTTGGAGTCGAAGTGCAGGACTAGGAGTACAGAGCTAGGGCGCATTTAGAATTCTGTCAAGGGTTCTTTTATGTGCATGCCAATGATGCAGTTCCTTGCCAGATCCTCCGACATACATCACTGATAAGGCCAAAGCAACATGGCAGAATCGCAGGAAACTTTCTGAGCCAAAGCCTTACAGCTCCCTCGTACTTATAGTTTTTGATAAGGTCCAGATAGGGGAGCTAGCTGACCATTGTTCCTAAACTTGGGGATAAAAATTGGCACTATACACGGAGGCACCTTGATGGCCAATGATCAGAATGGGAATTCTTAAAGTTACAATTTCATATTTTCTAAGAAAGTCAAAACATAATTATTTCTATGTCCTTTGCTCAATAGGTTGTCGACTCACTATTATACGATCATAGGTGTCATTCTCACACTTAAAACTTATTTACCCCGGAAATAATAACACAATTACCTCCCTTGTTTTCTATTCTCCACCATGGAGTAGCTATCTTGAAACATTTGAATTTGAAGATGAAAATGATATTTTTGCCAATTTCTCAACTGGCAATAGTGAATTATAGGGTTAATCATACAGGTCCATTCACGATTATCTCCAATATTTCGGCAGAATGTCCTTTTGATAAGTAATATTTTGATTCATTTCACGCCCTGAAAGATTATTAATCATAACATATTTCAAAGGAGCACATTCACATTATCAGTCATTTCACAAGGTGCCTTTTACCATCCATCCACTCTAGTTAAAATCTAAGATCTCGTCTTCGTAGGCTGATGCTTGTTCTATATTCAGATTGTCCATCTCATCAGTACCGGATCTGATGGGGGGGGGGGTCAAATGTCCCGGGCCCCCCCACAATTTTGGGTCATACTAATATTTTATCACGGACGGAGCCAACCAGTACCGGGGCTGAAGGGGCGATGATTGGGGCCATGGGCAGTAAGGGATATTGGGGGCCCCGGGACTGGTAGGTACCAACAGATTTTTGGGGGCCCAGGAAATCGCTGCTAAATCATCTCAGATGCACTGAAATTAATTCTAATTTAAAAAATAATTCCTGGAGGAAAACACCCCAGGAACACAAGGGGGCGGAGTAAATACTAGTACGATCCTCGGTCAGTACGAACAATTTGAACAAACAAAAGTGGGGCCCCCGCACAGTTGGTATGTCCCGGGTCCCCCACAAGGTTAATCCGGCACTGCTTTTCATCATCGCTAATTTCAGCATCAGTTTGGGATTTGTTTCCCATCAAAAAGCTCCTACTGAGTAAACCTACACAAAATGATTTTATCAACCTCACATTCCAAGATGGTATTGATGGAAAGGCAGTTGAAGTTTTGAACAAATCTGTAGCTAGAATATATGGTGCATTCAGCTCACTCTTAACGAGTATAGGTACCAATGTGTAAAAAGCTACTTTCTCGCGAAAGGTAAAAGCCCTTTAAGAACTGTCAAGGGCATTGACGGTTCCATGATACCTCCTGTGAGGCAGAGGTCGCTCCTAAAATACGGAGAACCACCTTCATAGCAAACATGTAGTCATCAAGCGATCTAAAGGTCATAAATTAACTTTTTAGTTGAAGGAAGATTTGAATCTATCTGGTCTGATGGAAAACAAATCCCAAACTCACTGGCACTGCCTGATGTTGTAGCCTACCTCAACGCGATATTGCTATTGAATTTACATGTAATTGGATCTTAATCTATCCAAATCTTTTTTCAGCAAATACTTAAAATTCTTTTCATACTTCTGTCAGTTATATAGAAGGATAACTCGTGTTTCCCTTTTGCTTTTGTCACTTCCGTTTCTTGAAATCTTTGTTACGCATCTACGTAGCAATGATCTCTATGTTAAAATTACACCCTATTTGGAACGTGTTTAACCATGCATGTGATAATGGCTGCCACCACAAATGTTGTCCTTTAAGCAAATAACTTGAAATTCTATTGTGATGATTCGGTTTTTATCAAATGTTTGTTAATTTTTCGCTTCTTCTAGCCCTTCTATAGGAATGACCGTTAAGGCATAGTGCCAATTTTGTCCGCGAGTTTAGGAACAACGGTCAGCTACCTCCTACTACCTCCCTTACTACATGTAGTACAGTACTACTAGTACTACACTACTGTACTAAGAAGAAAGTCCCTCTTTTACAGACCACTTATCAGACATATCGTTGGGTTAGAGCAAAAACATAGTGACATTTTTTTAATTGTGGAGAAAAACGACTTTAAAGGTTGAAACATTTCTGGTAAATCCAAGTTTTTTGCAATACATTTCACATTTCTCCACTTGACTAATGATATTAAGGGTAAATGAAATGTTTGGTGCAATTTTGGAATTACAGTTATTTACACCCATTCTGTCCAAAATATCACTTACGATGTTTTTGCTCTGAATTAAATTCAATCTTCACTCGATTAGGTAAGTGCAAAAACATCATAAGTTTTATTTAGGCTTTACTTTACCAGCACTGGTAATTGAGTAGGCCCTATGGGGTGATTGCGGAGTAAGGAGGCGCTTTTAGTGATCTTCCAATCATTAAATATATATTTTTCATTAATATATATAAAAATAATTGACAGTAGATGTCTGTTCTATAAATTCATGCGAGAAATACCATTTTGGCAATAAAATGATTATAAAAAGCGGTTGCCATTCAAGATAAGCCCACATTTGGATAGACTGGTCAGAGTCAGGGGGAATAATCCATTACGTTACGGTCCTATAAACTACAATATTAAATTGAACCGAGATCTTTGGGATACAAACATATAATTCCACCAAAATCGGATAAATATTTTGACATCTAGAGGGTTGAAAACCCTGGTAAGACATATTCAAACGGCATTAGGGTGTAACGGTAATATATTTAAACAGTTTTTATAACAGAATAAAACCAGCGCCTGCCAGGCAGGATACGCCCACATTTTCGAGGGATGGATAGAGAACAAGCTAACAAGAAAGTGATTTTTCCTACTATTAAGGGCCATAATTCAGAAAATTACAATTCAATATGCGCGAATATTGAAAGCAACTGAGATATTTGTGTTATAAACTTACATTTCAAGTTTCAACAAAATCGGATAAAAATTGTGACCTCTATAGGGTCCACAACCTTGATATACCATATTTTTACGCTATTTGAGAACGAACGGCGGCCATTTTGTCTGTCAATTTTGGGTTGATTTTCACGAAATACGAATTCAGTCCACCTTAGGGTGTAACAGTGATATAATAATACGTTTTTTTAAATCGGATAAAAATTATGACCTCTATAGGGTCCACAAGCTAAAAATGCGATTTTTCGTACAATCAGGGGTCATACATAATTCAGGAAGTTACGGTCCGATATGCGCGAATATCGAAAGGAACCGAGATCTTTGGGTTATAAACTTACATTTCAAGTTTCAACAAATCAGGTAAAAATTGTGACGTCTATAGGGTCCACGACCTTGATATACCATATTTTTACGCTATTAATGAACGGCGGCCATTTTGTCTGTCAATTTTGGGCCAATTTTCACAAAATTCGAACTCAGCCATCCTTAGGGTGTAACGGTGATATAATAATACGTTTTTTTTAAATCCGATAAAAATTATGACCTCTATAGGGTCCACAAGCTAAAAATGCGATTTTTCGTACAATCAGGGGCCATAATTCAGGAAGTTACAGTCCGATATGCGAGAATATCGAAAGGAACTGAGATCTTTGGGTTATAAACTTACATTTCAAGTTTCAACAAAATCGGATAAAAATTGTGACCTCTATAGGGCCAACAACCTTGATATACCATATTTTTACGCTATTTGTGAACGAACGGCGGCCATTTTGTCTGTCAATTTTGAGTTGATCGACACGAAATTCAACCTCAGCTGTCCTTAGGGTGTAACGGTGATATAATAATACGTTTTTTTAAATCGGATAAAAATTATGACCTCTATAGGGTCCACAAGCTAAAAATGCGATTTTTCGTACAATCTGGGGCCATAATTCAGGAAGTTACGGTACGGTACGATATGCGCGAATATCGAAAGTAACCAAGATCTTTGGGTTATAAACTTACATTTCAAGTTTCAACAAAATCGGATAGAAATTGTGACCTCTATAGGGTCCACAACCTTGATATACCATATTTTTACGTTATTTGAGAACGACCGGCGGCCATTTTGTCTGTCAATTTTGGGCCGATTTTCACGAAATTCGACCTCAGTCGTCCTTAGGGTGTAACGGTGATACAATAATATGGTTTTTTAAATCGGATAAAAATTATGACCTCTATAGGGTTCACAATCTAAAAACGCGATTTTTCGTACAATCAGGGGCCATAATTCAGGAAGTTACGGTCCAATATGCACGAATATCGAAAGGAGTCGAAATCTTTGGGTTATAAACTTACATTTCAAGTTTCAACAAAATCGGATAAAAATTGTGACCTCTATAGGGTCCACAACCTTGATATACCATATTCTTACGCTATTTGAGAACGAACGGCAGCCATTTTGTCTGTCAATTTTGGGCCGATTTTCACGAAATTCGAACTCAGTCGCCCTTAGGGTGTAACGATGATATAATAATATGGGTTTTTAAATCGGATAAAAATTATGACCTCTATAGGGTCACAAAGCTCAAAACGTGATTTTTCGTACAATCAGGGGCGATAATTCAGGAAGTTATGGTCTGATATGCGCGAATATCGAAAGGAACCGAGATCTTTGCGGCGCGTCGAATTACCCAATAACACCCAATAACTGTCCAATAACACCCAATAACTCCAAAATAACACCCAATAACACCCAATAACTCCAAAATAACAACCAATAACTACAAAATGTTGACTTTGGAAACACAAAATAACAATTTAGTTGATTTTAAGAAGCATTGCTGCTTTGTGTCCAAATCGCGGAGTTTCACGCTCATTCGCCTGAAGGGAGATAACTCGTATATGTGATTTTTGTTGACAAGAAATTAATAACACCCAATAACTGCCCAATAACACCAAATTGTTGTCTTTGGAAATACAAAATAACAATTTAGTTGAATTTAAAAGCCTCGCAACGTTGAGCCCAAATCAGAGTTTTACGCTCACTCGCCTGAAGGGAGATAACTCGCGTATGTGATTTTTGTTTACAAGAAATTAATGTATGCTTTCGTTGCAATTCATTTTAATTATACATGGGCGTCAAATATGGAATAACTATTTGAAGTCCTCCATGGGTATCGTCTGGCGGTTGCAATAACAAACGTTATTACAGATGTCCCTGCTATAGTTTTTCATGAAATTCAAATTAACTTCCAATAACAAGATACTTGGCGTTTAATTTTAATTCCTTTACAAAACAATGTTTTATAAAAAAAACATACACATATTTAAAAATGTTTCATATGAAAATATTATAAAGATAATAAAATAATGTGTGTGTGTGGTGTGGGGGGGGGGGGGTCTTTACCAGTGTGATGACCCAGAGAGAACCAACGATTCTGGACAGACGACACTACTTCTTGTCAGGTATAACCAGGGAATCACATACACAAATTATCTCCCTTCAGGCGAGACGAGCGTGAAACTCTGATTTGAATATCAAAACCAGCATTGTTGGATCTGCAAGACCTACATATGTAGTCTTCACTTGAACATTGAAAAAAATTCAACTGAGTAGTATCTACTTTCTCACAATCTGAATGGCACTAACGTTGACATACTTCACAATATAAGCTTTGAATATCGCGAGTTTCTTTCAAACATGATCCGCGAGGCTTTTAAATTCAACTAAATTAATTGTTATTTTGTATTTCCAAAGTCAACAATTTGGTGTTATTGGGCAGTTATTGAGCAGTTATTGGGTGTTATTAATTTCTTGTCAACAAAAATCACATGTCCCCTCAGGAGAGTGAGCGTGCAACTCCGATTTGGACACAATTACAGCGATGCTTCTTAAATTCAACTAAATTGTTATTTTGTGTTTCTAAAGTCAACATTTTGTAGTTATTGGTTGTTATTTTGGAGTTATTGGGTGTTACTGGGCCGTTATTGGGTGTTATTGGGCAGTTATTGGGTCTTTTTGGGTGTTATTGGGTAATTCGACGCGCCCGCTGCCCGGGCAAAATTTCCCTCATAGCACACTGTATGGCGTATGTCCGTCTTCATAAACCCAGGTTAGGAGCAGAACAGTAGAACGTTAAACCCCATTTCATTTCATTTTTCTGAGCCAAACAATTTAATTTCTATATAACAAATTCTACTTTCGATTATTCAAGGGAAATAACTCTAAAGTTCTTTCTTTCCTCCGCCAAGATGGCGGACACCGGCAGTCAACAAATGGAACTATTATTTTTTGATACATTTTCTCATGAAAATACAGAGGTGACATTATAATATCTGTTGCAATTCACGATACAAAGTTATATTTGAATATAAAATGATATTTAATTCTATATGACGCCATACGTAGTTTTTATTGTTAACAATAATTACTGTCTGAACCATCGTAAATTTTAAACGGATTTCATTTCAAAAATTTCAATTATGATCAAACTACTTATCTTTGGTTATTGTAAACTTACCTGTGTGTTTGAAATCAACTCCCGTTAAATAAAATCCATTGCACAATTTAATATCCCAACGAATAAAAAAGTTCTCTCTTGAAAAAATTGACGTATTTACTTGTATTTTTGACAAGACAACATCATGAACATGACTTTCCTCCTCAGGCTGTGTTGGACGAAACCATTATTGAATCTGTTGCGGGGTATGACAGAGATTTTGACAACCATGTGTTGCAATCAAAACAAAGCGTCCTCATTTCAAACGTTTGAGTTTGGGCAACAAAAATTATCAACTGATTAGGCCTACAGTTTTGACCGTATTGTGATATGGTACAATGTTTATTGTTCATGATGAAAATATATTCTTTATAAATTATTATTTAAAAATTTATTGTGAATAATACTTAAATCACACCATAGCCCCCACCTTTTATAGAAGGCTTAATCTCGCTTTAACTACGTACATCTTATCAGATGTTGTAAAACTCATAGTCGTTGCTTCAGGAACATGCATAGCCCCATAATTTTAAATAGGCCTACCCTGTAGGCCTACATGTACGTTAGATCTATCATGTTATATATCAGATTAAATTCATTCACCCGACTCTAATCAAAAATATGATTAAAACAAAATATTTCAAAAGGTAAAAGCTATAAACTTTGCAGAGATTTTACTAGAGTTAGTAGAATGTTAAAGATAGTAACAAAATAAAGGAATACGGGCAGTTATGTGTGTGAACGACCAAACTCAATACCGAGTCGGGATTACACAAAACTTGAACTGTCGTAAAAGTACCGCAAACCGTGACATCTTGTAACCCCTTTATACAAAATGATCTCTCCCGAAGAGTGACGTAATCGGCTTCCATTTTGGTATTTCTCCATGTCAAAAGTTTATGGGAATTCAATTTTTTCAAGAGAGAACTTTTTTATTCGTTGCGATATTAAATTGTGCATGGATGATATATACTGGGCACATGACAAGATGCTTAAATAGATTATTGATAAACACATCCCTATCAAACAAAAACCAAAAAGGAAATTTAACGCACTGTTCATGAACGGTGAACTAAGAAAAGCTATTAATCACAAGGAAACTCTATTCAGGAAATTTCAAAGATGTAAAACAGATAAGAATTGGTGACTCTATAAATGTCAAAGAAATAATGTTACAAAATTAAAAAGGAAAGCTATTAAAGAATATTTCATGGAAAGGTGCTCTGGTGGACCAAAGTCGAAAGACTTCTGGCCCACAATACGTCCATTTCTTACAAACAAGGGTAGCTGCCATGATACAGCAATCACATTATGTGAATGATACTATTACGTCTGACCAAAACAATGTATGTAATATTTTCAATGATTTCTATATAAATGTTGCAAAAGATATATTGGTAAAGACAGCATAGAAATAGATAGTGAACAAAGTAGTAATGTCAATTTTAGTTTCAATCATGTAAGTGAAAAAAAATGTCTCAGGTTTTCTAAAACAGATTGGAGACAAAAAGGCTACAGGTGTTGACAACATCTCTGTAAAGATACTTAAGGAAACCGAATCTGTCATGATTTCTCATATTACAGAGTTGATAAACACCATCTTTTCCTGGTAAGATCACGACGTAAATGTTGATTTAATTTGGCAAATAATTTGTGTTTTCAATGTCGAAGACTTTGAATGATATTGAGTTAGAGACTTAGCTACTTTAATATGAATTATGATTATCATTATAGTCATCATATAAATGAATAGCTTATTCCTGTATGACCTATCATTAAAGAATTGGCTAAACACAACAGTATGTAGGCTTATGCAAGCAGGTCTACTTTAATACCCGAGGGGCCTTTACATGTAGTTCTGTAGCAACAACCACAAGTTTTACAACATCTAGTCATTCCTGAACTTATAGGTACGTTATCTCCCTTTACCACAGACACGTGAACAGAGGCCGTGGCACAAACACACTCAAACAGAGGCCGTGGCACAAACACACTCAAATTAAACATGGCTACCTCCACGGAAACCATGACATTGAACGAATCTTGAACTTTGCAACTCGATTATCACAGGTAGACCTTTTAGCTAGAAAGCACATTAGCACAATGATATATTCTATCGAGGAATCTGAGATGTCCCTAGCTGGGTCAGTAGCCAATTAAAATTAGTGACGAAAATATGCAGGGTATTACATGTATGTGAAGAGATTGATAAGATGTACAGAGTTAAAGCAAGATCAAGCCTTCTATTGAAGATGACTTTACCTAAGAAAGAAGAGTTAGAAAATAAGCTAACATAACTTTTAATACTGGTGCCATATCTCATCAAAAAACTCATGCTTTCTGGCTAGCCTACTCCTTTATTGATTATGAGATTTTGATCCCACACTCAAGGAAATAAAATTGTATTACATGTTAGAGCTAGTTTGTGTTTGTCGGACATTAAACCCCATTTATCTCCCTTGATTAAAGATACATTATTTTAGATAAAGAGCTAGTCATTCTTGCTATAATAGTGTGAAAATAAATAATGTAAAATGAATAATTTGAAAATTTCAATCAAATTACTCTATTGCAAGCAATGATATTAGCCTTTGAAGGTTTGACAAGACGTGTGCAATAATTTCAACCACCGTACTGGTTGTTTGAAACTAAGTCTCGCTCTTCCATTTTTAGCTTAAATCAAAATATGGCTGAACTGTTCTAATCTATTTAGTATCGGAGAAATCTGATGCCATTGAGAGTTGATTATGGCCTGGATATGTGAATTAATGTCTAATTATTAATTTAGAAAACATTTCAGGCCTAAAGAAAGACCTGCAATAGACCTGGATAAATTAATTAATGTCTAATTATTAATTTAGAAAACATTTCAGGCTTAAAGAAAGACCTGCAATAGGCAGATTTAGCTCTTGCATAATGTATGTTTAATGTTATATTATATCTTCATAGGTTGTTTCCCATGATTAGTTTTTAGTGTATTGTAAATGCTCCCTAGAAAAACATTGCTACAAGAGTACAAGATTCATTGATGGTTGGTTTGTAGGGTTTAACGTCCTCTTCCATCAAGTGTGATATCGCAGAAAATATGTTTCCTTAGAGACTAATCTGGGTTGAGTTACTAGGAACAGGAGTCGAGGTTAATGATGCTAAACCAACAGACTACTTAGCTACATTTACCCGTGGATGTATGTAGTAGTTATTAGCACCCTTTCCGAGGTGTATCGGTGAATATCAGGACAGTTTTGGTCGAGGGGCCCAGCCGAGGCGGCTCCCGACCAAAACTGTCCTGATATTCACCGATACACCGAGGAAAGGTGCTAATAAGTTACTTACATCACATTTCTATCGAGTATTGTGAAGCAAAATGTGAAAAATAGTATTTATTATCGAGTCGTTTCAACCGAAAAGTGACAAATACTTTCTGCTCTTTCATTATTTATCCCTTTATGAGCCTCACGTTACATTTCATGGTAGAATGATTTCGCAGTGGAGAGACGACCTGAGTAGTATTTACACGTGCGTCTTGCTATGATACTCTGAGCGTAAAACATTCACGTGTTTGTTTAGACCACATCGTCAAAACAAACTTGTCTATGGCCTAGAGGACTGCGATATTATTAAATGTAGTGTAAAGGAAATGCGAAACGTGGGTCATTCCTGGTGAAAGTATGCATCGGCGGATGGTTCTTCCGTTGAAATTTATTTGTAATAAAGTTTATGACTTTCTAGGCGTTTTTTTTTCATCCTGCTTATTTTCAATGCCTGTGAAGTGTCAAGCAAGAGAACTGCGCCTTCTATCATCACAATTAATTAAAATAATTATTCAAAATTCTAATTTATATATTTTGCATATTAATATAAATCAAACCAAATTATGAAATAGATGCCAATTGATATGTATAATAATTGATTTTTGTAATATGTTGTTATGTTAATTTTATGTCATTGTATATGTTTTTGAACTGCCATGTAGTTCCCCCCATTTTGTTTTGTTACTATGATTTTGACTAGTCGTTTCGTGGACATTGTACAGAGCCCTTGTTATCAATTGCGATCTGGGTCGGACTAAACGTCCGCTACTTATTGCTTGATAGGTATCTAAAACGGTATAAAAGTATCCGGTATAAAAGTATCCGTGTATCTGAAACCAAATTATGAAATAGATGCCAATTGATATGTATAATAATTGATTTTTGTAATATGTTGTTATGTTAATTTTATGTCATTGTATATGTTTTTGAACTGCCATGTAGTTCCCCCCATTTTGTTTTGTTACTATGATTTTGACTAGTCGTTTCGTGGACATTGTACAGAGCCCTTGTTATCAATTGCGATCTGGGTCGGACTAAACGTCCGCTACTTATTGCTTGATAGGTATCTAAAACGGTATAAAAGTATCCGTGTATCTGAAATGAACAGTAGGGGGGGTTGGGATGGCCTAGTGGTCTAGAGTGTCACGCTTCGACCTCTAGCTGGCCGGTCACCTCTGGCTTGCGGTTGTGGTTTCGATCCCTGGTGTGAGCGTATGTGGCTTGGAGATAGGGGCGCCTTCTCAACCTCGTGGGTTTACTCCGGGTACTCCGGTTTCCTCCCACAGGAAAGACCCCTGCGCGTGCGCTAAGATAATGAAAATAAAAAAAAAAAAAGACAACTTGTCTGCGATATCACCTTCGGTGGAAGCGGACGTTAAACACTAACAACAACAACAACTGAAATGAACAGTACTCTTTCTGAACATTTCTGATACACGGATACTTTTCTGCATGTACTGCAATTAAACAGGACAGTTTTATCAAAGGTTGCCAGTGGCAATGAGTAGAA